GCTACTGTAGTATAAAGTATTACATCAATTGACACAGGTAAGTCCCATTGAGTTAAATGGGGACTTGTTCCCAGGTAAATGTGCACAGGACTATAGCCTAAGGACATATATGGCACTTATCTGTGAAGTGTTTTATCCATAGCAAATATTTGAAAAACAAAAATTACATGTTCTTGGCAAATGCATATATGTGTAAAGATGTGTGTGCATATGCACACCCAGAGGGAAAATTTGTGTGTTACAAATAGAATCCACTAAGATTTCAGGAACCTGATGAATTAAGGTTAGGTACTACCTTGTAAGATAGCACAATAAATCTGTTACCTCTTCAAGTAAAATCATTTTTAGTTGCCTTACTTGATAAAAGAACTGCAGAATTGTGTTGAATATATTTTTGGCAGACAGGTAGAGGCTGCAGTCTCTACCATCACCTATATTTGGTTTTTTCAAAAAGCATCTCCACAGGAGGGCTTTCTACTTTCTAAACTCTAAGACAGAATTAGATATGCACGTTGGTTCTGGCACTGTGGGACTATCTCTTGCTCAAAGCTGTCTATGCAGCTCTTGATTCCAACGCAGTCTATGAGTGGGAACTGCCCGCTGTAGTATGCTTATTGAAAAGTGGTAAAAGTTGAGTGATATCCCACCTTAGTAAGTGAATTGGACAAGGTAGTAAGTTTGTTTAACTTGCACTTTGTTCATGTTTGGGAAGATTCTGGAAAGGAAGAAAGTGACTTTTAAGTCAAAGTATCTAAAATTTACTTAGAAAACAAAACCCTTCATCAAGTACAGTAGGCCCACTAGAATCTGCTAAAGAGTGGTCTTTTCAGTTAACCTAGCAAGATGTTTTTATTAACCCAAACACATTTTAACTATTTATTATATGTATATCCTACATAACCTACATTTTCTGTTCCAGGAACTCAAGGCAGCTTACCTAAATCTTTTACAGAGAAAAGTCTAGTTCTGAATTACAGCTGGGTAATAAATCTGTGGCTGAGAGTTACAACCTCACTAGTTGTTTGTGGGAATTAGGGATATTTTTAAAAAGTACTCTGGATACTTTGTTCAGCTCCTTGCTTTTCAAAACATCTATCCTGTGCAGGCCTAAAGCATCTCTCCACTGTATGTCTTTCCTGAAAATCTTCACACTAGGAGATTGCCTAACATCCCCAGGCAATTTAGATTGTCCCACACAACTTATTTTACTCCTAGGCCTGTGTTTACCTATGAACAGGAAAATGTGCATGGCCATGAGAAATCCTCTTAACTGCCTGCCTTCCATTGGTACATGAGATTGGAAACTGCCACATATATGCTAGCATAACCTATAAGACACTTATTTTACTGGTGACCCAATTTCTCTCTATCATTGTAAGCCTTCCCCTCCTAACTACTGTGACTTGTGTCATGCCCTCAATGGTCAGAAAGAATTTCTGTTTCCCTCAAATGTTGCTTCTTTGTTAACATGTCCTGTTACTTCACTTTTTTCTACACCTGTGTCTTGCCTGTCTTTGTTGTAGTCATAAGACTGTCCCAAAGTTGCTGCTGCCCCACACAGAGCCACTCACAGCCGAGTACCTGATTATGCCCCCACTTGCATGGTTTTCATGCCTGCAGAGGCTATCAGAACTATGGCAACAGTGTGAAAATGGAGAGTGAGCCTAGAAATGTCTCGTTATGTGAGAACGGTTTCAAGTGCTCCCCAGAGGGGGATGATCTACAATACTAAAGGATTTGAGAATAACTGTCAGCCTTTGCCACTGCGGTCCAGGCATTTTGCTGTTTCAAACTTGGCGTCCACCTTAACCTCACCGTTCAGTTAGGGTGAGGCATCCAGTTTGAGGGTGGAAATCTGTCAGCTCTCCTCTGCGTGGTTCCTTGGACTCTGGCTTGCTTTCTCGCTGCCCAGAGTCCAGCCAGGGTAGAGCACTGACATGAGTGTCCAGCAGGAATCGAGCTCAATGGAGTTCTGCTTCCGTACATGTAACGCCTGGTCTTTTCAGGAAAAGAATGCGTACTTCGCACAAAGAAGCCGAGAGGTCCTTGGATGTGTGCTGCTGATCCCGCTTGCTTCCTGGCCAGGGCAGAGCATGGGAAAGAGGTCCAGGGAGCACCAGCGAGCTCGATCTGGCCTGCTCTCCCCATTCCTTCCAGGCCAGAGCGAGCCTGGAGTCATAAGCTTGGGCAATGATCCAGGTGTTCCATGCTGAGAACAGGCCACCCCTTCAAGGCTTGTTTCACCTGTAGCGCTGCCATAGTGGTGGCTTAAGTTCTCATGCTCCCAGATCTGCACGACTAGCAAGGGTGAGCATGTCTACCTCCCGCCCCATGGGAGAGGACCCAAGCAAACTGTGTTGTCATCTGGCTCAGTGGTTGAACCCATCGCAGTTCAAGAGCTCAGCCCAAGAAGGGACAAGCCATCCACAAATTGATTCCAATATGTCAAGTACATCATCCAGTTGGAGCAGTTTGTACTAAAGTTTAACTGTTATTACAACCATGTAAAACACAGCATTTAAACACTATGTACAATTCTTTTGGACAATTTAAAAAAGTGAATGTTTTGCTGTCCCTACTCCCTCTCCCGCCCAGCCCAAGCATGTACATAAAAATGTATGAAAGCCATAATACAATACACAGTTACAGAATAAGCTCTGGAAAGTGTAAACAAGAATAGCATTAAAATATAAAATTAAAAAAGACAATGGCAGCAGAGCTATCAAAGTGCACAAAAAAAGACCAATGTATGAACTGCAGAGGTTACAAATTTCAACAATGGGAGAGTTTCCAGAACCTCCGTGCTGAATTCCTGCCAGAGAATGCACTGTTGCTGCTCAGGCTGGATGTGATCCAACTCCAAGTTAACACTGGACTTTAAAACTAAATACATCTCAGCTATATACACCCCGTTTGGGGATCGGGTGGGGGAGTAATTTTCCTGAGTTCCTGAAATAATACTGGCACTGTTACCATTACTTAGGAATGTTCTAGGTGCCACTCATCATTATTTGATGGGAAGGCCAAGTTATTCTTCACCAAGTTTACAGATTAGTTTAAGGCAGTTAGTGTGCCTGCCTTGATGTACATTAGGAGTATGCTCATCAATCAAAGGGTGGGGATCCTGAATGGGAAAGGATTGTGTCAGAACAAAACAAAAGCATCACCAACTGCTGTAAAACTCATGATATCTCAGCTGGAAATGGCTAAAGACATTGCTATTCAAAAGTAAGAAATACTTGCCTCCGGACATTTCATAGAAAACTGAGTCTAAGTTAGACACTGCTTCAATCCAAACTGAAACTGAAATAGGTTCCTGCATATAGCAGTCTAGTTTGTACAAGGGTATTACCTAGTTTGAATAGCATCTAAAATGCTGACCTAATACAGAAAGTTTTCTCCTAAACCTTGGCAGGTGATTGCCAGATGAGAAAACCCAGAAAGCAAGGAACGCTGTAAACTCCTGTGATGAAATGTCACAACTTCAGTGAAATACCTCCATTTAGAGAGACCTTTTGTATGTGAGACATGCTCTACCAGCTCTGCTTGCCTGCTATGTGGAGTCTATTCTCTGGCAATGCTTGGCCCCCTCTGTATTCTCAACTGAACTCTTCAGCACTCCAGTCCACCTGAGAATTCATTATAGCTCACAGCTCTTTCATCAGGAAACCATTGCAAAATCCATACTACCAGTTCTTGAGCAAACATTCAAGGTAAGGGTAAGGAACTTTGGGTGTGCATGCCAAGTTTGGCAACCTCTCATGTCCCCGGATACATGGACTTTCCCCCTTCTAATTTGGTCCCGGTACTATCTCCATGTGAGATCAGATTAGATTACATCAGATTAGATTAAGGGGATGTCTGGGAGGAAGTAAAGCAGCATAGGAAAAAGCTGTGTTCTCATCCTCACTCATCCATTTGTGATAGCAGCATCCAGAGTAGAGCTGGATCAGGTCAATAGCAGAGAAAGGGGATTGGTTGTTTGCATGGGCTTGACAACAAAGTCCTCAGATGAAAAGAGATTTAGGCAATGGCTGCAGATAGATAATGCAAGAAAAGCATCAATGACTTAGAAATGGTTAGAATTTGCTTCTATCTGGGCTTAAACATGAAAATATGGCACATACTGCAAATGCTGCATGTATGTATAGACAATGGTGTGCATCTTCTGGCACAGGGAATAAACTGGGAATCCTTAAACACCAGTTTTCAGTTTTTACTTTGGTGGGAATACTGTTCTAGGAAAATACAATTTAAAGACATCTAACACTAGTTACTATCTATTTCGTTCAGGTTTTACTAGCACCTGCACAACTGTTATGATCTGAAAGCCTTCTCATAGTACACCATGCAGTGTAACTAAAGCCTGTAAAACTACAATTTACATTCCCTAAGCCAGTTGCATCCCTCATACAGTAGACTCTCAGTTAAGTGGCACCCATGGGGATTGGTAGATGCCAGATAAATGTAATTTCTGATTGCTTGAGAGTTACTATTAAAAACAGGCCTAATTAATACTAAACCATACCATAAACTCTGTACTGACTTGACATTAACATTAGTAATTAAACAGTATTTAAAAGCAAATTAAGACAAAGACAAACTTCTATCTTCTGAGACCGAGCCTTAATGTCATAGATCACTGATGAACCAACATTAAATTCCTCCATGAGTACTGTACCTTTCTCTAACCTCTTGCATATTTCTGTCTTCTGCTGGAGGGTAAGCACTATGCGTTTACACTTACTTGGCACCTGTTCTGGCATACTTGGGGTTCGGTGAGAACATAAAATTTGAACAATACATCCCAACAACCGTTATGTTCACACAGTGAATTGATGGGAGTGGGAGACAAACCTGTGGCCTTACTCATGGTGTGGTAGATGGTGCACCAAGTTTAAAGTTACATTTTTGCTGGAAATTGATTTTATTTTAATCTTAATTTAAAGTATTATTATTTCCTCCTCCTCCTCCTCCTCCTCCTCCTCCTCCTCCTCCTCCTCCTCTTTTTGCTGGTTGCTTGAGTTCTGGTTAACCAGGAGTCTACTGTACATGAATGGACAGCCTGTCTCCAGAAGGCATCTGCCTTCCTTTGGGTAGGACCATGGAGCCAGTTAGAGGTTTCCCAGTTAAGCTGTACATTATTCACATCTTTCAATTCTATACTGAGGGTTTTTCTGCAGTGGATTCTGAGCTGCTTGGGTTATTGGCATAACTAACATTATGAAGGAAGCAGCAATCCTTGAGAAGGAAATTCTAAGGCTGTTCCTTTATTGAAATTTGCCTTTTTTAACAAGCAGGTTGTTGCAATGAAACTGCAGGCAGAGCTTTCAAGGACATCAGCTGACCAAAGACTCTTGCACGGTTTGATGGCATGCTGAGACAGTTCTTTGGACCAAAATGTTATAGCAAATCCAACTAAAGAACTGCTGTTGTAATTGTTCCTTTAGCCTTAGCTCAAAGTTGCACTCTAGCAAATATCCCATCAGAGAAGCACTTGAAAGCCTTAGAGCAGGAGTGGGCTAACTGTGGCCCTCTAGATACTTTAACCTATAATACCCATCAGACTTAGCCAGCACAGGTAATGGTGAAGGCTGATGGGATTTGTAGGCCAAAACATCCAGAGGGCTATAAACGGCCCATCTCTGGTTTAGAGCCTTCCTACACAGAGGAATGTTGTCCATGGGGTAGTGATGGGTCAGACACGACTTTGCTAAACAACAACAACACAGATGAAGTGAGCGATAGATACACTTCTGTTAGTCCTTTGTTCAGTAGGGTAACAATCTTTGTCCTCAAGGCTGCAGTTCCTATGCAGGAACATCACTATTTTCGAACGTTTGACTATCACTGTTTTGTTGTTGGGAAAATTGGATTCTGGACAACTAATGCAATAGATTGCTATTAAGGCAACTGTGTGGAATGTGATGTGCATGATGGTGGACTAAGAGGTATTTTTTAAATTAGCATCTCAATTTTCTACATGCTTGATTGCTTCCTTACATCTCCACTAGAGGACACCCATGTGGTTAAAAAAGATGGCATGGAAAGAGGCAGCTGCTTCGGCTACTTCCCTACAGTGAACTGGTTCACATGTAGAGGGGCAAAATGTGAGGTTAAATAATTAATCCACAATTTGCTAGGGTTCTGCATCTCTGCCATTCTCAATATACAACTTCTCATCAGCTTGACACAAGATTCCTCTACAATGTCCAAACCTGGAATTCTGGATTAATCAACATAAAATCAACCTAAATTAATTAATTAGGCTAACTCTGGGTTGATTAATCCAGTGTCTGGGTTTGGATGTCAAGGAGCCAACTGGCAGCTGCATACTTGAACTGGCAGCATATATTAGGAGCGTCTGGCAGCAAATCATGGGTTACTGAATCCACTGGTTTGCTGCCATTACATGCAAATGGAGGCAGTATTGTCTTCCTCCCCTTCTGCATACCACCTGTTCTTTCTGTGAGAGGACTTGGTGAAGTACAGCAGTCAAAGGGAAAAAGGCAACTGATGAGTTCTATCGAAAGGCCTTAAAAGCAGCACCAACTTTAATGCCAGCAGTCTGTGAGGGAAGAGACGAGGGATGGGGAAGACATGAATGTTCCAGTTTAAGCCAAGAGAAAAGGAACCGCTCTAAAGAACTGCCTCTCTGTGCCCCTTGGCATGAAATATGTTTAGTGACAGGAATGAGATATTGAAAGGCAAACTGTTGGCAAGTGAAGGGACTGGGGCAAATGACTTGGTCTCGGATTATATTTGGTCCAAAGCCTGTGCTATTACAATTGGCTTTCTTTTGATGCCTCCCTTATTACTTTTGTGCAGTCCTTTGGAAGGAACAAGACAGGACAAATCAAAGTGGTTCTGCTCACAGACAGGTACTGCAGCTTCCCATCCTACCTTCTATTTCTGAACTCATATCCTTCCTCAGAAGTTTTAACAGCAGGTTTTGAGTCCGCATGTTACTAGACATACTCCTGGGTGCTTCAGGCTAACTACAAGACAAGTTCCAGAAAACAGACAACACTGTAAAGCTGGGCAATGTCTGGGATTTTATAAGGTGAGATTAAAAGGGATACAGTACTGATTTTTTAAATCGAAGTTTTAATTAGGGTCACAGCCGTGTTCACTATATTGTATCTGGTAGCTAAATTCAGGGACAAATATACCACCTGCTTCTACTAGTAGGAATTCTTTCCTGCAATGGAAGCTTTAGCGCAGGGATGGGGAATGCATACAGGTATAATTCCCATCATTCCTGATCACTGACTGATCTTTGTAGCTGGAGCTGAACAACATCCAGAAGGCCATGGGTGCTCCACACCTAGTCATGTTGTGCAATGCCATAGGGTTTATCAGGGACCTGGCCTTCCTTTTTTCCTGCCTCAGGTAATTCATTTGCTCAGCACATATATTGGGATTTGTATTTGACAGCTGTGAAACATTTCTAAACAAGCACCTTTGAACATAGTGCCTGACCCACCTTGTTGGACAGGTAAAGGAGGTAAAAATGCAGAGAAGAAACCAAAGGTCAAGCTGTTAGAACATCTGTAGGCTCTGTATCTGAGGGAGAGAAGCTGACTGCAGCTAAAGCAAAGAAGAGTCAGATGCCTGCAGGAAAACCTCAGTTGGAGGCCAACAGTATTTCAGGACATTATGTTGTGTTCTAGGAGCAGATAAGCAAAATAAAGACTACAGATCCTTAGCCTTAAAATAGTATCCTGGGAGGATGGATTTACATGGGGATGTGTTAGTTTTTGAATAATGGTGCAGCAGCTGCTATTCAACAAAACACCTTTCTTGTGGGAGGCTTTTGACCACTCCTGCTTAGCAATGATCTCTCTCTCTCGCTCTCTCTCTCTCTCGCTCTCTCTCTCGCTCTCGCTCCTGTCAAAAGCACAGATTAATTCTCACAACTTTCCTGTGAGACAAGGGTTAAGAACAATGTCCAGTAGGAAGGTTCAGGCAAGATATGCAAACTTCCCAAATGCCACAGAGGAAGCTGCTGAGATAGGAGCCGAGTTCCTGGCTCCCCGTGCTATGCCCAGGTGCTGTCCCTCTGGAGGATAGAGGGAAGCCCAAATGGCCTGCTGTGGGTTCCCCTTCAGTTTTGCCCTCTCACTTCCAGAGGAAAACCAGACATAAAACCTGACATAAAATAAACACTGATGCCTAACAGCTCTATATACCTTTTACCTCAGCAATACAAACCCGAGCATTCTTCTCATACTGAGCAGCAGATGAGAAGCTCCAATAGCTATAAACTTATGTTTGATGAATGAGGCCTTTTAAAATTTATCTGAAAAGCTAAGCTTTTAATAATACCTGCATTTTTAAAAGTATACCTTATGTGCCCAGAAAAGGCTACCTTGTAAAGCTATGCTTGCTGCCTTGGCCACTGTGCAGATTTGTCTGCTGTCAGCGAATGCAGAGTGGTGGCATCAAGGCTTTAGGAAATGAACCCTGTGTGCACTTGATGGGGCAAGTTTGAGAAAAATGCAAGAAAGCATGCGAACAATTCAGCTGCAGATGCTTTCCAATGACTAGTCTGCACACAGTGCTGCTCTCGCATTGATCCCAGGTTCGGGTTGCAGTTTGCCAGCTGCAGCTAAATACCAACCCAGACAATTCTAGTTCCTGTGGAAGTGCAGAGCCCCCGAGGCAAACTTCTGCCTAGTCACTTGCAGGGTTGTGCGCATGCTCACTTACAGAATCTGCTCAAAAGAAAAGAGAAACAGCTGAAGGAAGAGAACTTGCTACACCTCTTTTTCTAGCTGCTGCAGCCACCCCTCTTGGTGTGTACACACGGTCCAAGCACATGAACACACAGAAGATGCTGGAGAGTCAGCACTTTGGGACAAATCTGCTGTGAGCAGCATGCAGATTTGGTTTGGCTTCCCTCAGGAATTACCCTTGCTTTTTAGGTCGCACGTTGCATTGTTTAACAGAAAATCATTCCTCTGCATGTTTTATTAATCTTTGAGAAACCTCGTCAGTGCAAACAAGTGAGGGAGCTAAAGAAATAGGAACAGGCATGCTGAATTGCCTGGTTTTACTGCACGATAAAACACACATGAGTGTGTGCTGGATATTGCATAGATGCTATGAAAGCTATGTTTCCTGGCACGACTAATCTATAGCCTCATTTACAGAACTAGACTGGCTGAAACAGAAAAAACAACAACACTATTGCTACAGAAAAATGTGCTACTACTGGCCCAAACCTGTAACCGAGTAGTCCCCTAGTTCCTCAAACATTCTTTCTCTCTCACGGCCATGTGTAACTTTTCAGTTACAAGGGTTTGGAAGGAAACAGTACAAATGATTTGGCCATGTTAAATCTCCACCAAATTGTGAGGGAGGAGATACAAGAAGCAAGATTCAAAAGCGCCATGGGAGGAGAACCCAAGTGTTTCAAGACTCTGCTCACAGGCATGGCCTCCTGCAAGCTAGCCTGTATTCTAAGCCCCATCCTGAATTCTTGGACACAGCACAACTAGCAAGATAATTGCTTCCTTGGCCTCAAATGAGGCTGTGCGTTTTTGTTCTGTTCTCTCATGAGCTGTAGAACCTTAATCTCCTTTTTTCCAATACTATTAGAATGTGACTGATTTAGACATTTTTACCATGGGAGGGCAGCCTAGATAGAAATGGTTATCGGAAAGAGTTTTGAAAATCTTGGCTGGAACCTTTGGCTTCGGCCTTTGGAGGGCAGGTGACCCACCCAAAGCATTCAGTGATTTCTGAAGACAGTCTCCGCCAGCTCCACCCTCCTCAATTTCCACATCTGCAGAAACAAGCTCACCACTGCCAGCTGTATCATGGCCAGTGGTCTCTGGTAAAGGCAGAGCCACTTGCTTCTTGCTCAAGAAGCCTTGCTCTGTAGCATGAACCAGGTGAAGAGGGGTGGTGGTTTTTACTATTCGGAAGGGGCTGTGCTGCTCCTGGAATGCTGTGGATGAAGTGGGCTGGGCAGGGAAGCCCTCTGACAGCACCTCAGGGTCTGGTTCGGATAAGATGGGCACACTGCCTCCTCCGGAGAGTTTCTTGAGATGGGACCATGTGGTGAATGAGGTGGGCTGGCCAGGTCGTTTGGACCGTTGCATCCAATCTACCACTTCGCAAGCTTGTCTCTGGAAATTTTCCATCTCTCCAGTGGAAGCCGACCTGGACATTGAACACTTTGACAGTGAAGCACAGAAATCAGAGGGTGGTATTAAAACGGCCATTTTCTCAGAACTGGGCACCTGTATGCAAGGTTTCTCTTCCCCATCCTCATCCTCAGACAGGTTGTCATACTGAGATGCATTGGAAGGCCGTCGCTGACCATCCTGGCATGGGAGAGGGAGAGCAGCAGGTGCTTTGACTGTACAGGGAGCTTCTGTGCTTTCTGGCAAGGCTTCTGTTGTGGACAGGCCATGCCCTGGAGCAGAAGAAGAGTCTGTACTTGGAGGGCAGCACAAGGGAACCAGAAGCAGTGTTGCATCTTCAGACAGCAGATCCTCAGAGGATGAGGTGGCACTCCCATGCTGTAGAGCTGCTGCATTTTGCACAGATGAGGAGTCTGAAGTCTTTTGTTCTTCAAGGGATGTAAGCAAGGGCACCTGATGGGATGACTCTGACTCTGATAATGATGGCGGACCATCATAGCCAACAGAAGGGTCTGCTTCTTCTGTCTGACTCTGCAGGACAGATCCCCACAGAGTGCTTTCCACTGACATGCCACCTGTCTGAGTTTGCAGACTCTGGGGAACAAGAGGGTCCTTGTCAAGTATAGGAAGAAACAGGTGGTTTTCCTGTGAACTGCACTTCTCTGTGTTGCTCTCTAACGAATCAGCCTCTTTACAGTCTGCAGGCACACCTGGGCTTTCTCTGATGGGCTGAATCTCATTCAGCATTATAGGATTATTGTCTGATGAGTTTTCATTGGCATTTGTTTCTGCTTGTTGTTCCTCAATTTCAAGTGTTTGACTTGGCTGCTGATTCTGGAATGGACTGTGTTGCAGGTCGGCTGGTTCAGTTTGCATATGTGGTCCACTGGGTTCTGGAAGAACAGCTCTCTCATGTACTGCCATATTTGAATTGCCAATCAATTCATTCAGGTACGATGGACTTTTATCTGGAGAAGTTTGTGTTAAAGCATCTGCGTCATGGCTGAGGTCAGTGATTGCCTTTTTCTGTCCATTAGCAGCAACACTGGGCTTCACTGACACCAGATTTAGAGAGAGCTCCAGCCCCAAGGGTTTCTTGGGGAATTCTTCCGATTTTGCTGCAAAAACAACAACAGCAACAAAAACACCTTATAGTAGCCTGTTATTTTGAATTCAACTGCAACCAAGAAGGGCTGATGAAAAAGTGCTCAAACTTGTTTAGTTCAGTTTAGAAAATGACCAGGAAAAATGACCCCCTAAAACAACAGGCTAGAGGTGATACAAAACTTACCACCTCTTTTCAATAGAAAATGCATCACTCAAACTACAGCCTACATTAAGCCCTGCAAAGTTATTCCAATCTAGTGCATTCAATTCAGATGCATATGTTCCGTCAAATTCCAATGATTTAGTGATTTATTGGCATTTATTAATTCAAAAGTAAAACCTACACTGTGAAGAACATAATTTGGATTTTTAAAAGGTCTTTCCTGTCCTGCATTAGAAACATTTATGCATATAAACATCTGTACATGCAAGTAACACACTCGAGACTCACAATGTTTTAAGTGTCATATGCAAAGATGCTTTAAATCCAAAAGAGCCTTATTTTATAGCAGGTTCCCTATGAAGAAAGGCTAAAATGTGTGGGGATTTTCAGTCCACCATGTGGATGAAGTGAGTAAGGAGACTTTCTCCCTCTCACATAATGCTAAAACTCAGGATCATCTAAGAAACTGCAATAGATTTGAGACTTAATTTTTAAAAATTACCTCTTCACACAATGCAACTCATTGCCACAGGCTGAGAGGATGGCCACTAGCTCAGAAGGCTTTAGAAGGGGGATTATGCAAACTGATGGCCAGTAAGTCTACCAGAGGCTCTGCTCAGAGGCAGCCAATCACTGAACAGCAGTTGCTGGGCACAAAAATGGGAGAAGGCAATTAATTTCATGTCTGCTTGTCAGCTTCCTGGAGGTTAATCTCTGGGAAACTGCATGCTGGACTGGACAGACCTTTAGTGTGCTCTTACACTCGCAGAAGAAACTTGCACAGCTTCCCTTGATAGTTTAGGAATTGCATTAACCCGATGGCATTGAATTGGACCACTAGGAGTCCAATTATTTCTGGAGGGGCACTGGTCCTATACTGGTCTATACTGACAGGCAGGGTTTGAGATGAAAGTGCCTGTCAATTATCCACAGAGACGCCAGGACTGAACCTGGAAACTTCTGCATGCAAAGCATATGCTCTACCACTGACCAACCTTGAACTGACCATGCTCTTCTAACAGATCGAGCCTCCTACTTCTTCTGCCAAAGGTCAATAGGTGGAGCTAAACACCTCTGTGCTCCTGAGTGCTCCATCTACCTAGGACTATCATACAGAAGCCTGCTCCTACACACACATGGTGTTCCTAAATGAAATGAGGTGTATGTGAGATACTAGGTCAAAAAATAGTTAAAGCTTGGTTTCATCATAGAATATTCCACACTGCACCGCCCCACAGTTCCATTTTTGCTTACCTGGGGGAGGAAGGTCAAATTTCATTTTGCGTAGTTCAGCCATGGATGCTTGCAACTGTTCAATTACAATATCATCCTCAAACTGCAAGGAAGCAGCAGTTTTTTCCTGGAGGAATTCCCTTAGATCTTCCAGGCTCATTTTCAGCAGACGCTCTATGCAGGCAGCAGAAAATTTGACACAAAAAAGATCACAGGAGGGTTCTTATTCATTTGCTGTTGGGTGATGCTGATCACAATTAACTAGTAGCTATCAGTGCAGAGAAAAAAACATAATGTTTGTAATATAGGGATGTTCCATTTGTGCTTTTTTGTTTATATGGCCTTTTTCTGTACTTAAGTGCTTTCTCTCTCTCTCTCTAGTTCATGTCCCTTCATCTAGTCTACTATGAATTTATACTGGGGCATAACTTCATCATTATGGTATTTATATTAACCAGAATCTCTTGCATGAATAAAGCAGGGACTGGCACACTAATCTTTGCAGTCATATGCAGGACTGTTCAGATATTACACCTCTAGGGGGAGTAGAACCATATTCTATAACCTGATGCATGCACCATCTCAATCTTTTCCAAGGTTGTTTGTCCAGGCAAACGCATAGACCCCAAGCATTAAATTTTCTGGCCATGTGTTCAGAATGCCTGCACATAAAAGCTTTTGTATTTACATTTCTAGTCTCAGGCAAAAAATCCATTACTTTTGTGTGCATGAATCCATTACTTTTTGCAAATGTAAATAAAAATGTGGGTCATACATACATAGCAGTGCTACATATGAAGACTGACTATATTATAGCTGTGAACAATACATTTATTTTGTTCATCGTTCTTGGACATTAAGCACATATGTTTGTCCTTGGGACTTACTCTCACTTCTGAACAAAGAGCTTTCCATACATGACCCGGAGGCTGCATTTAAGTATAGATAGTGAATACTGTGGATCAGAACTTCAAAACATCATTACAGAATATCTTCTAATCTTTAAAGTACCACAAGGCTTCTTTGTGTCTCTTGTGACAGACTATCATGGTTATCCTCCCTTAATACTGAATTTGTCAGAAAAGCATTTCAATATTATGCTTTTCTATTCCATTCTTTCTACTCCCTTCTATTGCTCTCATTCTCCCACTGCTCATCCACCACAAACAAACCAAGAAAGGAAAAATGCATCTTGTGTCTCCCCTTGTCATTTAGTTTCTAAACCAACTTGCTTTTAATCTGTGAAAGAAAGTTAAGCTTAAGGCAGCATTTTAAAAAATGCACATAGTAGTAGCTAGAGGAGACCATTTGGTAACCTTTATTGACTGTATAGACCAACTGAATTCTATCGAAATTACAATTTGCTTGTAGGTTCTAACACAGAGATATAGGTTTGGCAACTTATATTTCGTACAGCCGATATAGCACGCATTTTGTAATATAAAGCCCACAGGGGCAATGAAATGTACAACCAAATCTAAGAGGAAGTGTGCAATGTGTATAACCAAAGCCATCACATGCAAATGTAAGTCTTGTTGAACCATTCAGATAAGGAAAAAAAATCTGTAAATATTCTGGTTTTTTTTTTTTAAACTGTGCTTAATAAGTCTATAAATGCAAGGTATATTGACACAAATTGTGAAAAAATACTCCTAGCCTTAATTGTAAATATAGAAGCTCTAGTATAGTTCTGCTTTTTTCCTTCTGGTTTTATCATGATGCAAAACAAATATTCATACTAGTGAAAGAAAATTTTGAAAAACCTTCTGAAAGGTTTCTTCTCCCATGTGGGGAGATGGTGTACTGTGTGTGACGCTTTCTACATGGAGATTGCAGAATCTGAAGGCACTGGGTGGATTTTAGAGCTTTCCTTTATGTTCAGAGGTTACTGAACGGCATATGATAGCTTTCCAACTTGCTTGAGCCGCTATTTCAGGAAGGTCTAGGACAGTGATGGCGAACCTATGGCAGGCATGCCCAAAGGGGCACACAGTGCCCTCTCTGTCCCCACGAGATCGTCCCAGCAGCCATGCGCATATTTGGAAAGATTAAGGGCGCCAGGCAAAGACTCATTAGCAGTGACTCGTGGAGCTTGGAGCTTTCCCATGAGCTGCCAGGGATTTTCTTGGACTGTGATTTTAGGAGAAGGTAGGAAATTCACTCAGATGCCTTTTTCAGGGCCGGCCAAAAGCTGGTGGTCAGTGGAATGTTGCCCCCTTGTGCTGGTGGTCAGCAAATCCAGGTTTTATTGCAGTGTTGGCACTTTGCAATAAATAAGTGGGTTCTGAGTTGCATTTTGGGCACTGGGCACTCAATCTCTAAAAGGCTTGCCATCACTGGTCTAGGAGATGCACCACTATCTGGCATTTGCAGTACTGCTGTGGAAGTGCACACAAGCAAATCTCATGCCACTGAATAATAACCTGTGGTGCTTCACTATCAGTAACCAAAGCAAACTACCAGGCAATTGTGTCCTTCCAGAAGTTTTGACCTATAACTCCCAGCCTCCGTCAACACTGTTAGGGCTGATAGGAATTGTAGGCCAGGCCATCTAGAGGGGCATAAGTTGTCTATTCCTAATTTAAATAAAAACAAAAGGCAATATATGGCCTGAATGTAACTATGCTATATGTGAACTAACAAAAGAATCATAAAAGCTTTGGGAACATTGCTGGAATTGAATTGCTACATTCCCAGCCTCTTGGTGTCATTCATAGTAAGCAGTCAAGTCAAACATCTTACTTTTGTGCAATTTAAGGATGGTGTAGGCCATGGCTGTCAGAACCCTCTCTCCTTCCAGAATGTAGATATCCCATAGCCGCAAGGTTAAAGTAAATGGAGTCTGTTCAACATGTTAAAAGAACTGGATATTATATATTGGCACAGAAATCAGAATGCATACATACAGTAGCAGTGTCCTTAATCAAGCCAGTATATATTTCCAAGCTAGAGACAAGCCTATGCAAACTTAAATTTGTATTTCTTATCTATCCAACAAAATTCAGACAGATATGGTTTTTATTTTGGCACTTTACCATTAAAGAGAAAACCAGTCCAATCTAAAATCTTCTGCATAACAGGGCTTTCCTACTTAATACTTTCATCTCACTTAATGAAAATACTAGCAAGCAAAAGATGCCCAGTAGTTACTTTGAACAGCCCCAAATTATATAGTGTAAATAATAGTATAAATAATAAATAATATAGTGAGGTTGTAAGCAAGTTTAAGACTTTGCTCCTCAAGGCGCATACCCGGTCAATGAAGCACTGCAGGAACCACTTAGTTGTATAAATCCCTGTAGACATCTGTTCCTTGTCCTAAAATAGAGTTGAAGTAAGGAAAATATTCACTTCAGTGAGCAAACAAGCTGGGAACTTGCAAACAAAATTGACTTAACTTTGAAAACTAGTATTCCTTGAAACATTCTCAGGTTCCTAAACATAACAACTCTTTGCTTCTCCTTGCCTACATTAAAGTAAGTTCTACTCAAGAAGCAATATTTCTTATTGCCAGATAAACATAGGATTACAGTGTTATTGACTGTGCATTCAGTGATCACATGCAAGTATCTGATCATCCAGAGAGGGCAGGGGAAGTGAGAAAGGCAAACTTCAGATACCCAGTGTTCCTGATTTTGCTTGATAGATTTTTAAACCATCTGGTGAGGGGGAAGGGAAGGAGGCAAGATAATAGCCTCCCCAGTCTCCTTCCTCACTGCCCACTAGAATAACTCCTTCCTTCCTCCTTGATTGCTTTTCCAACTTCAGAGGGCAGCCAGTGCAGCTCTTTTTGCATTGGCTGTGCAGGATGGGAGAGGAGGGTTGGATCTTCAACTCCCTCTGCCAAGTTGGAGTGCTGTCTTTATCCTTGGGAGGGGAATCTGAATACTATGCTATGTGAGACGCCAGCCCAGGGACACCAGGATTGTGCTTTCTGCATCTTCAATACGCAATTCTTCCTTGAATAATAAGTGAACTTCCCTGCCCCTCTCTTGACCAACACGATATACTGGAAACATTAGTTTGCACATCTGTAGCATTTTGTATATAAATCTGGAGAGATTTCCCCTTTAACCATTGTTATATGTCATTTAGAAACAGAGGAGAACTGAAGACTCAACAAATGTTCCACTCGGAAGCTGGAGAAACTTATGGTATAGTCAAAAGTGAATCTACATATCTCATTTTCTACAATACTGAATAGAGCAGTGTATAGTGCATTCTGCCCATCTAGCTGAATACTTAGAAGAGGAAATAGAGTATGAATTAGGCTTAACTGAGGCCAAACCTGCTGCTACAGGCACTAATGCTGCTGTCCTTGACTAAAGCTACCTGCTGTTCCATTCTGGAGTTTATATTCAGCGCCAGGAAACTATTTCCATGGGACACCAAAATAGCTGCTTAAGAGCTATTTAATGTCACAGACACAAAAACTAATGACAAATTCCTTTTAGTCAGGATTGGGCATTTGCAGGGTACGAGGTATCTTTGCTTGCCTTAGGGTTAATTATCTGGGGGAAAATGACAACTGAAATAAACTAGGCTTTATCAGAGATAAAGCTGATTTGGCTGTTCTTTCCATCACACAATTTAAGGTATTTGCGCTAAGATATGCCAGGTAGTGGAGGAGCTAAATCACTTTGGACTCTCTGCAGTGCATTATAAGTGGCATTATGGAAAAAATAAAAGAAACCTGTGAAGCAAGCAAGAAAGTGAGTCCTCAAATACATTTTAAACTATGCTGGCATTAGTTTGTAACTGCTAACAATACCTCATTGGTATTGTATAAGATTCTGTATCTGGAAATAGTCACCCATTTTTCCAGATTTTGATTGCAATGTTTAGCAATTCTGTGCAACTATCAATTTAAAATAAATGGTTTTGATAGAAACACCTTGTCCATCAATTGGTTCCATTAAATGTTTATAAATAGTAAAAAATGTATGTTCATTTGTGAGCATAACAAGATACAATCTGAATACTTTAAAGTTAATCGCCTGTGGTAAACATATACAGGAAATATTACCATGTGCTTCTTCAGCTTTGGAAAAAGTTTGCTTAAGATTGCTTCATGATGGGCTTGAAATCTCTGCAGCTTTGGGAATCCAGGAATGAAAAACCCTTTGAGAGGAAAAGACACAAGCAAAGGATAGCAAGAAGGACTTAGAAATGAAAGCTGACCCCCACAATACCTAATGCAGAGTACAGAATAAGGATCTTCATTTCCTAAGACACCCCCACTTTCACCAGCTCAACAAGAATGAGTGCAGTATTTTTCTTTCCAAACTATCAGTTTTACTGTTTCACATTTGTGTACGTTCTGGAATTCTGTCCATGACCAACAAGGAAGGTGCACACATGCTCCCCACAGGCAGCTGGTTGGCCACTTCTGCTGAAAAGGATGGCTGTTGGTCTAATCCAGTGTGATTCTTACAAAGATGTGGCAGGTCAGAACAATCACAAATAAATCAGCTATTGTTCTCTCAATAGACCTTTGGTAGTGTCCAAAGTGGTCACAGAACTCGCCCCAGTAATATTGCACTAATATAAACTAATGCGAGCGTAGCATCATTCGTGCTTGTTAGGCAAAGGGAAAAATAATGACTTGCCATGAACTTTCTGTAGTGCAGATCACTCCTTTTCCCCTTTGCCTAGTACATGCTACTGACTTTGTGCTGACACTGTTTTACACTAGTGCTCTGACACCACTGGACAGTGCCCTTTGACAAGGCTGCTTATAGGACTCTCACTGTGAGAGTTTTTAGACCAGACTGACCACTGCTACTAGTAACAAAAGAAGAGTGCTCACTGCAGCGTGGCAACACATGCATATTCCAACACTAATGATTTGACAGATTCTTTTCAATTCATAAGGAATTAAAAAAATAATTTCTGAGCCTGTTCCAGTGGGGTTTTTCTTGTTCTATATGTCAAAACTTTGCATACAGTAAAGGGGTTTCACAAACTTTCATCTTCTGTTGGTTGTATGTAGAATTATATGCAATATCCAGTCCCCCATCCCAGTTAATTTGTACAGAGATATTTCTGATGTTCAGTTGCAAAGTCATGCCTGACTCTTTGCAACCCCATGGACCATAGCACCCAGGCCCTCCTGTCCTCCACTGTTTCTCAGAGTTCAGCCAAATTCATGTTTATTGCATCAGTGACACTATCTAATCATCTCATCCTCTGCCTTTCCTTTCTCCTTTTGTTTTCAGTCTTTCCCTCTCATTATGTGTCCAAAGTATTTGAAGCTTCAGCTTCAGTATCTGTCCTTCTAAAGAACAGTCAGGATTGATTTACTTTAGGATTTCATTATGATGAAACAAATTTTAATTTAGTCACATTTTAAATAGCCGAATGCTTATCTGAAAGCTTCTGGACAGGGGCAGTGTGTATTCTGCTACACATGTATAGGAAAAATCTAAGAACTACAGTATATCAGAATTGAAGGGCTAATTCTGGGTACACCATGAGCCTTCACTGCATATCATGTTTAACCTGCATCTGCAGTGAACATATAATCAGCAATAAGAATGGTGTGAGAAACAAGTAGGACAGGAGCCTCATTTCCACCTCCTGCAACCCAGATCCTGGTGTACACTGCAGTGGGAATATAATTTGAAGGGCAAAATAACAACACAGTTCTTAAAAAGTAAATGAAATCATGGAAAGGAAGATACATTTTCAGAGAGAGCTTACCATGCATTGCATGCCTCTGATTGGTAAGCAGCTGTGCCAGTGCCCAAAAGGCATCCTCTTCATTTAAATACATCAGCAGGATAGCTGCAATCTGACTCATTCCCTGGCAGTAGCTCACTTCCTGACAGATCCAAGGATGCAGACACATGTTAGATGGTATTAACTTCTTAGAAGAGTGCATACAAATACAAAATGAAACTTTCCCTTGTGTTCATTGAATGAGATACAGCTTTTTCCAATTGATTCAGACAGGGAGGGGATTGCTGACTTGCAGTAACATATTTATTCATTTGACTGTCTTCAACCTTTCCACCAAAAACAGCACTCAAAGCAGTTTCCGGTTACTGGTAAAACCAATAAGTAAATGCATTAAAATACAAATAAAATAACTCAAAACACAATGGAGTTGTGCTCACAAGAGGTGTTTCTGCTCAAAACAGTAAAAATGGTCCCTTTAACTCAGTGGGACAGCAAATGCTTTGCATGGAAAAGGGTTAGCAACAGACCTGCAACAGACCAGCCACCTCCCCTTTCACCAGCAATCAGACTATGAGTGAACTTAGATGACCTCAACAAAGAAACAGTACACAGAGACTCTGCTGATTACCAGCTGCAAAGCAGGGGAATAATAAAACCTAGCAAGGCTATGGAAACTACAGAATAAGATTGTGGGGAGAGAAAGAATCATGAAAAACCCAGTAGGATTTTAGAGAGTACAGATAAAGAATTACAAAATCAGGGATGGGAAATCCTGAAAAGTCCTGCTGGATGGACTACAAAGACACTACTTTACACATTAATATATTAAACACCAGTCCCAGAATTTTTAAAACTATCCACTGACATGCACTTTTGCTTTGCACTCCTACTGCTTGTAATTACTCCCTCACTACAACATGTGTGGCCTGGTCTCCTGTCCCCAGGATACCCGCTGCTCAGTATGCATGTGTCTTTTGCCTGTCCTTCACCTTTTCAGCAGCTTTGGCTACAGGGGAGCCCAGGGTGTCCTGGAAAAGGGAGTCTGAGTAGAGGAAAAGAGACCAAGCACCTGGCTTTCCTTCTCACCTGGGCAGGACTGGCAGAAAGCTGCACCAGGAGGAGAAGACAATGACCCAAATGCTGGGCTTGGCCGGCTGCACTGGTGTGGGCATGTGGCGGCCTGGCATCATGCAGTGATGGCACAAAGCAAAGGGAGCAGTGGCAGATGGACAGGACCCAAACAGAGGGCACAGAATTGCTGCTGCCTTCGCTACTGAGGCAGGAAAGGCCGCGTCAGGAGCCTGCAGCAGGTGGGAGTGGCGTGGGGGGGCTGGCATACTAGAAAACAGCAGAACACACACCAGCTGCAGCGGTGTTGCTGCCCCATGACAGAGCAAGCCAAGAAATGGCAGGAAGGGGTGGCCACGATCAACCATGCTTCCTAAATGCTGCCTATTCATTGGAAGGCAGACTGAGGCCAGAGATCTTACAGGGCTTCTTTCAGTCACACTGGGGTTGGCTAATGGACTTCTACAGTACAGGGCATGGTCGTGCATTAATGGTATGCAGCTGAAGGTTGTCTTCAAAAACAGGCAGGATTGTTAGGTTAAAAATGCAAAAGCAGCCCTGCAGGATCAATCCAAAGGTCTGTTTTGTCTCCTACACTGGCTAGCCAGATAAATTGGGAAGCCCACACTGAATGGACACATGGCCAAGGTTGTTATGTATTAGTACTAATCTCCAACATATACAGAGTAAGTAATTTGATGAGCACTGCTGCCTCCTTAAAGCCTATTACAGTATCAAGATTTTTCTGCAACTACAAATAAACATGTCTGTACCAAAGGAGGAGCTTGCTGCAGCCATTCTGGTGCATTGGGTGAAATACTAAAATGGCACAATTCCAACTTTTAAAACTTGAACCTGAAGCTCGTCGGCTTAATTATGCTTCTTTACCTATCTATCCAAACCTGCACCCTGTCAAAGTTTAATAGGCTTCTCTTTGCCACTCTCCTTAATCACTACTACCACCATCTCACTAGATCCTGATCCCTCCATAAACCCTGGCCCCAGGATTCCAGTGGGTTTGTCCTCAAAGAAGAACATAGAATAATCACAACATAATATTTGCCATTTAAATTCCTACGTAAAATAAAGCACTAGGGATGTTACAAGTATGGTTTTGCTTGCAAAATATATGAGCATGTTCTGCTCAAAACCCTGAATGAGATCACGAGCATGTCTGCCAAAAATATTTGTGAACTGCCAGACATGTGCTTGCATTCAATTTGCACAAATTACCCAGTCTGATTTTGTGCAAGTTTCATAATTTGTACAAATGTCCCTGTAGACAGAGTCAGCTTCACTTTTGTCTACGGAAGAAAGTTGAGAAATTTGTGAAGATTTCATAGTCAATCATATTTTGATTTCTGCAACTTTCCTATTTGTGCACAGGAAACAGCAATCACAAACATCAACATGAATTGGGAACAAGACACAATGTTTCAAGATTCTTAGCAATTTTAAATATTTTGAAAATGTGTTTGCTTGTTTGCCTGTCCCTAATTATAACCTCACACCTAGACTCTTAGATTGAAATATTCAGATAGGTTCTGGCAGCTACATGAGTGAAACAGTGCTATATTTAGAACATAAGGAAGTCTCAAAGTATCATAGATTACCATTGAATCAAGAGGTCACTTCATACTTTTGTATAACGTGAATTCAGGTATCAATATTTTGGAAATTACTGCATGGAATAAGAGAAAGTCTACATAAATGCTATTTTTCAATTTTTTCTGGATAGCCAATTCAAAAGAAAAGATAACAATCTTCTGTAAAACACTGGGAAAAATGTGTCTTCCCATGTTTGGACCATCTGGGTTAATCCTCCCACTGCTAGCACATGGAAACAGCAAATTCTGGAGCTAATTTAAGCATATTCTCTCCTCCATGCCCTTTGGCTGGAAATGAGTTAACTGACTGTAACAAATTGGAGTCTTGAGCCGTGAAGCTACCACTGAATGCAGCAAAAGAGGTCACAAGAAGAATGGACAATATCCTCATTTGATAATAGGCCAGCATCACAGAGAGGCTACTCAGAAAGCAGGGCTATAAAAAGGTCCATGTATTGCTGTAACACTTCTCACATGAAAACTGAGATTCCACAATATTTTCTCAATTTGCTGAAGTTTGTTCCTCATAAAATGAAATTCATTTTATATCCCACAAATAGCTACAACTAAGAGTCAAAATATAACTTAATTTTAATTTTTATTATTGTAGAAAATATTGCATATTTGTTTTGGCAATACCAAGCTCTTTTTCTGCATTTAATAACTTGAAGGATATCACATTGCTATTCTGATGTTTTGTTACTTTAGATCTCACTTATTTTTCAAAATTGGCTACAATCTTACTCCCAAATCAGAATTAAGGTCAGAGCCTTTCAGTTCCCAGCTGCATCTTTTAACTTCTTACCGTGTTGTAAACAGAATAGGCTGACAGGACATCAAACAAAGCTTGTTGCCTATACAAGAAAAAAGATCACAGTATGAACGGGACAAAGTGGGGTCTCAATGATCAGTCAGGATAACATGCTGCAACTTGTTGTGAATTATTTCTCTCATGACCAGCTGCAGTGGGTTGTATATCCAGTTCCTACTTGGGTTGTCATGTTGTGCAAACCTGGCAAACATCAGTTGTACAAGAATTAAGCAATCCCTGTATAACTCTTAAACAGACAATGGGGTTAAGCAACGGTTGTTAAGCCTAGCACAACTCTTCCTCACTAAGTTGACATTACATAACAATCCCTAAGTGGGGTTGTGTATTCCAAACGGTGAGTACACACCCTGCCAGCTTCACTGGGACTGTCATGGACTGTCATGTCATGTGAACAGCCCCACTGTCGCATTTTCAGCAAGAATTCAATAAATCAACCAATAGCTACAGAGGAATATTGCAACTGTAAAGCCAATAGGAAATAGTTGAGGCCCTGGCAGGCTGCACAATGGGCTGCGGGATTCCAGGGACGATGTGCCATTGATGGATTCTGCCAATTATGACCTTCAAGTCTATCTGCAGAAGTAAGGAATTTAACTAGACTGAGAAAGAGGGAGAGCATGTGGATTACAGAAATATCATGACAGATTTGGGAAGAGAAGCTGCTACTCAAGATAGGAGTACCTTGTTGTTCTTGAGTGAAAAATACTCACTAGAATCTGGGGACCTAATTCTGCCCAAAGATGTCACACACATGATACCAATATATCTACTGAGCCATGTAGACCCAGACCCCATTTTCTCTGAAGTGGTAAGCCCAAGTCTGGGCTCAACTACCCTCCCAGACTGCAGCATGATATAAAAGCATTCTTATACATGTAAAGCTAAATATCAAGGAAACATATGTGGAAGCATTCAGTCATGTGAGCTCCTAGCGTCTCATGTGGCCAACAGTATGAAGTGGTAGAAATTTAATGGCCTCCTTTCATGGAGTTCCATGCCACTTTTTTCCAGCACTTTGGTTCTTTTCTTTCTTTAATGAAAAGCAGACACCTGAAACCTCAGTCAGGAGAAAGAAGCAGATCACTATTCCCTGTTGGTCATTTTATCTCTAAAAATGCTCATCCAAGCTGCTTCCCCTGCTGCAGAAGAAAAAGATGCATGTCTCTAGAAAAGCAAACTAGTTATCTCCAGGAAGGTGACATGGAACTTTGTTCTAACTGCTATATGCATATATTATGCTATAAAGGTCCATAATTGCTTTATATATACAAATCAGCATTAACAAATAGATTGTTTATAAATAGATAGGTTGATGGTCATGGACCATATTATATTGATGGCAAAATTAATATGCAATCATGCCTACAAAAATATCTGCTAAGATATTTTACATGACTGGGCTTGGGAATGAATAGGATGTTTTGTATTTAATATAACGCACATTATAGCACACATTTCCTTTCACAAACATGAATAAGCATTTGGGAATAACAAGAACCTCTTGAATTCTAAATACTTAACCAATGGATAAAACTACTGAATCACATCCTCCCTCAGTCAAAAAATGTAGAAAATACTTACCCAAATTCAACTAGCTGCCAGAGTAAATACTGCATCAAGCAATATAACATGCAGCTGAATCTGACAGATAATGGTTTTAATCCAGGAACTGCCCATACCTATTGGAAATGAGTGAGCACCCTATCTTCCTCACACTTACTGCTTCCACTTTCAGTTATCAGTTCAGGAACTCCCACATGATGTCTGAACATAGAAACACTGGGTTGTTTAGGAGTTAAACAATCCAGCGTTAACCCATTAAAAAAAACTCTGGGTTAACATTGGGTTGTTTAACACCTAAGCAGCCCAATGTTTCTGTGTTCAGACATTGCAACAACAATGGGATACTTCCAGATTGTTAACTGCAAGCAGAAGCAATAAGCACTTGAGAGGCAGTGTGCGCGCTCACTGCTGCTTGTCTCTGACAATTCATGGCTTAAACAACCCCTAGACCGTTGTTAGACGTGAACTGAAATTTCCACTGCATGTTCACCAAGGCCATAAGAAGGTTTAAATCTTTGTAATGTTCTAAAGAAACATCATTCTCATTGTACAAGTGGTGAAACTGAGCAGGGTCCAGATCCCCTGAAAAAAACAACAACAGGATGTTCTGGAACAAGAGCATACTCTGATCCAAAGATCTTTTTTTTTTTCAAATGCTGATTTTTGCCTCTGAAAAGCAATGTCTGTATCTCTACACCTTTTTCATTAGACAATATGTATTTACTATACTTTAGGAATAGATTCTAGGAAATAACTAATTAGCACTTTCCTCTTCTCTCCTACAATGATCAATTTATTACATTACAATTGATGGATTCTTCAACAAGCATTTATAGCAGCTGGACAGAAGATCTGAGGGCAATATCCAATATTATCTTCATGGATTTCTGCTCAATAGTGTGACTTCCCCTTCCTTTTGCTCTTCACCCTGCACACACTGCAAATCTGCTCCAGAAGATCTGCCAATCTTCTAAAGCAAATTTGGTGTATGCAGAGACTGAAGGGCGAATCTGTTTTGCCATCAATGTCTATTTTGCTGGTGAATGACATCAGTGGATAGAACCCAGAGATAAAACATTTATTTATTTAGATATCACGCATAGTTAAGTTCCATTTATGAGAAACCTACTTCACTCCATAGCGATCGCGAAACATGATGTGGTTCCGAAAGGTGCGATTGACATCAAGGTCTATCTGCTTGATTTCTGATGAGAAACTCCTGGCTTGTTGTTTCATTTTCTGAATGAAAGAAGATGGGACAAAGCATTCAAAATTGTTCAAATATAACCCATCTCCAAGAAGGTGGCATCATCTAGGGCTTCCAATTCAAAGTGCCCTCCTTCCATCCAGCACAGCTCTTTTCATGCCAGCTGTGGCTCTAACGTCACTTCAGATACAGCATGCATGGTGGGGGGGAGGGTCGGTTCTGGGGGACAGGAATGGGAGGAATGAGGTTCTGCTGGGATACTAGGAATTCTGAGGGTGCCTCAGGCCCTTCTCATGAGCAGGGATAAAACACTTACAAATGCTGAAACTGGATATCTTAAGTGCTCTTTTTGGTGGGGGAAGCATGGAGACAATCCCCACCTCTGCACTCCTGCCCTTCCTTGGAAGCCCAGAAACATCTACTTCCAGAAGGTTTTCGGGCAGCCACAGTAGGTGGTGTCCTTATGGTACATCCACACAGAAGGCTGCTCTAATGCTACCAATCATTGCTCTTGCACTGTAAGTGAAATTGGAACTGATTGGTCCCAGTACAGAAATCCAGTATTTTTTTTGGTATAAACATCTTCTGCCCACACAATGGGCATGGCATACCCATATGGGCAGCATTATCTCCTCCCCTTTCCCCACCCCTCAGAGGTCACAACACACACCTTTCTCCTAACATTTTGAAGCAGGTGCTTCTCAGGACTATTACAGCACTCTGTTTTGTGTGCACACTTTCTTTGTTTTTGAAATAGTTCAACTGCAAGCAAAAATGAAAAGTTTCTTCTTTTAAAAGTACATGCAGCACAGGCAAAAGGATTACATCTAAACTTACGTTTAAGTAAACAAAGCTATAGAATCAGATGTGCAGTACCATCAATTTCACCGGAGTCTCTAGTTTAGTCAACTTCATAACTAGACCTACCTGGTTTAATTTAATCTAACCCTTTTTTTTTTTTACAAGAAAACCTGCTATTCTGATTTTCCCTACTTGCTAGTTGTACGGTTCTATCATAGCTCAGTTTTGAGTAAATTAATAAAAACAATGCTTGAAGCATAGAGTCAGTGGACTGCAGTGCTATAGGCAGAACCTCTACATCTGCACTCAGAAGTAAATGTTGTTTTCAATGTAATATAGTAATTAAATAGCTAATTAAATAGTGTGGACTGTGGAAACCTATTTTAAAAAGTAATTAAGTAAGGCTGAGAGCCAGTAGATTAGGTGGAAGGAATTGCATGGCAGGATACAAAATGGTTCTTCAACCAGAAATGCAAAGCGAACAATAAAAGAATGCAGGGGCACCCCAAGCACCTCATCCACCTTCCCCAGAGGCAACTCCTCAATTGCGTATTTTTCTATCTATATTTTCAAGGCTATTGTGCTGCTGTTCTGCTCTTTCCTTACTTAATGGATTGCTTGCAAAAAGAAAAAAGATAGAGGATGCACTGGAACAATATGCATAGATTGCAATTGGCTTACGGGGTCATCCTGCCCCTCCTATAAAATTGCATGACTAAAGCATGATGACATCATATTAAAAACCTCATCTGGCAGTACTCTTTTGCTAGAACAAATGTGAAATAATGAGACTTGTTTTCCCTTTTCACCAAATTCATCACTTTTAAACTAATTGTGAGACAGAAATGAGAACCAAGTAGTCTCAGACAATTAGCTTGCCATCTCTGCACCAAGAAGCAAACTACCTGTGATGAGAATTAATGGAACATGGAGGGAGGCTTTAACTTTTTCCTTCCCTGTTTTTCCAAAACTAGTATTATCATTTGAGGGGTTTTTTGGGGAGTGACTCCCCCATTTTGGACTCAACTTTCTTGTTACTGATGAATATCATATACCTTCTCAAAGAAGGAACTTTTTAGTTTTAATGATACATACATGAAAAGTGGTTGATTACAGCTGAAATACTCCATTTGAAATAATTTAGCAATTTGATTAGGGAAGTTCTAGTAACTACTAAGATATATCACATACTGCAAACCTGGAAATATAATCTTCTGTCATTCAATTATCCTTAGGGTATATCAAGTTATGACACCATTCAAATGCAGACAGACATTTTGTAGGACTATGCATTTATTGATTAGGTTGTCCTAATGTTACTGATTGTCATAACCTGCAGAAATTGTCCTGCTCCCCCACAACCTACCAGATCATTTGGTATTTCAAGAGTCCTTGTACCAGCAACTCTAGACTGTAGTATTGGATGGCATATAAAAACTTTAAATAAATACATAAGTAAATAAACTCCATGCTTCTCATATGGGAGTAAAATTACTCTTCTTCAAACTGCCAGTCACATGTTATTATTTTGACTCAAACAATATTACTGAGAATTCATGACATGATATATAAGCATATCTCTTTGTGTTCCAGTTAACCCCTCTCCCAGCATACTTGTGGCCACCTACCAAATGAGCACATGTATAAAACATACTTTCACTGATATTAGTAACATGCAGATGCTCCCAGTGAAAAATTAAACTGAAGGAAACAGTCTGACTTCGCAAAATGGATTGCTGCTAAAGAAGAAACAGGATAAAGTTTGGGTGTGAGGGAAGACATGTACTATGGCTAGAAACATAAGCTCTGATCCAAAGCTACATATGGAAATACTTGTGAATGCAAGCAGAACTTGCAGAATTCAGGTATGACTTTGGCTAAGTCAAACATGAAGTGTTATTTTTCAAAATGTTTAAAATGTTTAGAAGTCTAAATGTATTAAGGCCCACTGACTAAACATGAAAGCTATATTCCTTTCCTGTCTCCAACTTTCTTCTAGATCATGTAAAGCTCCTGCTGGCCTCAGGTGGCACCAAGGATGAGAAGGATTATGAAGAGCTGATTTCCAGGATTTATGTGCACATAAAGCCTATTATACTATTAGTCCCTTGTTTATTGCAGACCACTCAAGAGCTTATTTAAACTGCTTGTGACTTTTGTTTATTCTGATCACTTGCGCTAAGACATGGCCAGGTGGGAACAACTTGGCAGCAGCAGCAGCAGCCTTTTATTCTTCACTGATGGCTAGCGGTGTCTATCCCATTTCCTTTAACTTTTCACATCATAATGAGTTGGGTGGACTTTACCATTATTCAAGCACAATCTTAATATGCTATGAGTATTAATACTTAACAGAAATATTATAAATACCTTGAAATTACTAGATGTCACTACTTAATCTTGTACTTAACTTTTAGAGTGTCACCTATGGGCCCAAGGCTGGCCTTAATGCTCCTGTGGTTAGAAATAGCACAAAGAAGCTTTAACACAGGTTCTTGGCCATGAATACAATGTCTCCTGAATACAATGACCTGGAAATATAGTTAGTGGAAATAGTTGCTGGAAAACACAGAGTAACATCTTGCTTGGGGTTCCAAGAATTGCTTGCACAACATTCAAATACCCTGCAGCTGTCTGTACATTTTTCTAAGAGCTGATTTCATTAAGTTCTTTTGTAACCAGTTTGAGTCTTATGTTACTGTTCAGAGTACAATAAAAGGTAGTTTAAGATACAGTAGGCAAATTGACTATTGTCAGTCATCAAGCATACTCTAGAAGAAGAAAAAAACTGCCTGGATTACTCATCGAACACTTCTATAGAAGTGAGCTATGCAGAAAAAGCAGCAAGCTTCAATGGCTATTCTGCTGTAAATCCCACTGCCAGCTCCACTCTCTGTTGAAGTATCTACTGAGAGCCGGAATGAAGATGTCTTCAGAAAACAGGTGGTGGCAACCCCTAAACTTCAAATCCTGGCCCATATTTATGGTGAATCATACATATAATTTAGGTAATGTCAAGGCCTATTTTCTATGATGCTTTTGTTTATTTGGCCAATCAATTCCTCTCTTTTTGAAGTACAGAACTGACTATGGAAAGGGTGCCTTTGCTTCGGAGAGAAGTACATTTGTTATTTTTAAATAGTATGTTAGAAATCCCAGACTTAGCAATGGAAAGGGGCCTGAAGAAAACAGGGCAGCCAAAAGACTTTCAGAAGATCAGGAATCTTGCATCTGTGATAAGCATGCCTGCATAACAAATTCTTCCAGTGGTGGCAGTGACAAACTTCCATGGTTCAATGCTGACAATTCCATCGGATTTGTAAGACGCTGTTGGTCAGGTGTTTGCTACTGAAGAAACATTGGCGGAAAGCAGACAGCTAATGAGGATGCACTGAGAAATCACTCGGGGCTGGCAGGTGTTCAATGATATGTGATGGGGCAATCAAAGTGCCAGTAAAGAAAAACAGGAAGAACAAATATTGATCCAGCAAGACATGTCTAGAGTCTAGCCTATGTGCTGAGCTGCAGTGGGTATGCTATCTTGACCTCCTCCTCCTCATCATTTTCATTATTATCTCTCTCACACACATGCATGCATACAGATGCACGCACACACATATACCCCTATGCGTACCTATAAACACTGCAGATAGCTAATATCTTAAAAGAAGCATTTTCCCTTCTTTCACTAAATGTCTCTTCAAAGATTGTACCTACTGTAACACGTATACTAATAATTAAAAACTATGTTTGGATTCATGCTACATTAATAATATTTACATCCCATTAATTAAAACATGACTAACTTTTCACAGGGGTTCCATTGGAGCATAAATATCCTGATCCAATCTATTGTTCTGACCCACATGTAAATTTATCCAAATTTAATCAACAGAATAATCAATTGTAATTTCTTTAAGCGGGTTGCACCCCTAGTTTTTATATTAGATATTGTCTTCAACATTCACATGCTATGAATTAAAAAAGCCAGTTTTTCATTTCAATTCTGATACGATTTTTAAAAATGTTTTGTTCAGTTTAGAGTACAAATGTATAGTTTATCCCAGTGGTCCTCAAACTTTTTCAATAGGGGGCCAGCTGAAAGGCGGCAGTTACACGCGTGGGCCGGTGAGGAGGGGGGGCCTGGGCGTGCGGGCCAGTGAGGCATCGTTGGGTGCGCCCGAGGTGGCATTGGGCACGCACGGTGGCAGCTCACGATGAGATTTCCCAGCGAGTCCAAAACCATCTCCAAGCGAGCAAGCCACCACTTCCAGCCCACGCTGCAGTGGCGCGGGCCAGATGAATGGGCATGATGGGCAGGATCCATCTTGCGGGTCATAGTTTGAAGACCCATGGTTTATGCTATAGCTTTCACAAACAGCTCTGGAGTTAACTGAGGTGAAAGAGTATAACAAAACTAATGTGTGCTTGTAAAGACAGAGCACTTTCTTATGGGGCAGTATAGAAATAAAAAAAATAAAATAAAAGATATTGTTTAAGATGCATGTTTGTTGAAGTAAGAGTGTTTTTATTAAAAGGAAGAGAGGTCTAGAAACAGAAAGGCTTTTTAGCAGTCAAATATGTATATTTAGGGTTTTTAAGATTCCATCTTAGAATCTCCCTCCCGAATAAATTCTTATTTTTCATTCATTGCTTACAGACTACATGTTTTCCCTGAAGGTTGTGTTTCTGTACTGGGGATGAACCAGTCTTTGAACATTAAATTTTGTGTTTGGAAGAATGCTATACCTCTTCCAGATTAGTTATTTTCTATACTGCCAATAACTGAAGTTCTCTGGGTGGTTTACAGCAGTATATAAAAAGAGTACAATAAAATGCAATATCAATGCCATAAAATCTTATCAAAAAGTAAAAACTGAAAAAGCTAAAAACATGCAATGAAGAACAGCCCTGCAAAAGAAAAATGTCTGGGATAAGTACCACTGCATATTCAAATCTATCTTTTAAAGCCTTGGCATAAAGGCTGCCTTAACCTGACATCACAATGATGTCATTATTGGCACCTGGTGGGCCACAGTGGGGAAGTCATTTCACAGACTGATTGATTTTATTAAAAGCTTTTCTATCCCGTCCCCTACTTGGGACAGCTAACAGATTGGGGGCGGGGGTCAACAAAGAGAAAGTCCTCCCTCTTTCTGCTGCCCTCTGAGTTCGTACTTGGAGAAAGGCCCCAGATGCTGAGTTTAGTGTCCTGTCTTGCTAGATTATGAACAGAAGAAGTGTTCCATCAAGCATTGTGGTCCCAAACCATGTAAGGCTGAAACCAGCACCTTGAACTGGGCCTGGAAGCATTCCAACAGCCAGTGCAAGTGGCCCAGAACTGGTCTTATGTGTTCAGATCTATGAGTCCCAGTAACTTAAACTGGCTGCCAAATTCTACATGAGCTGCAGTTTCTGAACAGTCTTCAAGGACAGCACCATGTAGAGTGCATTGTTATAATTTAGACAACACCAGAGTATATATATCTAAAATCAGGCTAACACACAGAACACCCTCCATCCAATCAGAGGACCCTTCCACCAACAGACCCCAATGAACTGCTATTTAAGTGTTGTGTAAAATGTGATTGCCAAAGTGCAATACTCACCTACTTATTATTTCTGGTCACATAAATAATAGTATCAGCATTTAATAAGGGCTTTTTAAACCAATCTTTTTTCTCATGAATCCATTCTTTGGGAGCTATACATTCTCCAGCAGTACAATTGCTATATGGCAGAGCATATCTACTCTTTTGAAAGTAGTGAATACCAAACATATCATCTACTTTCAAATCAAAATACATTAAAATGTGGAAATCTAGGAATAAAGCAACCATGAGGTTGTTTATTGCTGCAACATATTTTGCACTTCAGTACTGTATCCAACAAAAAATGCATTACCTCATACTTTCCTTCATTCTCCTTCTTAATCTTTTCAACATCCAGCAAGAGTGACCAGACCTGGCCTCGCACTTGGAGGGGTATCCCTTTATAAACTCTGCGGAACATCTATGAAGTTTTAAATCACACAGATTAGTGCAGCCTTCCAAAAATATGTGTATTTTTCAAATACAACAAATTCTGTAGTAGCTTGGTAACCCAAAGGGTATCAAGTCATTCTAAAGTTAATTGTCTCCTCTTAAATTATGTACTCTTAGTCTAGTTTCCTTCAGGAAAATGCAAATTGATACGAGTTGGCAATCATATATATAGGAAAAGATACTGTGCTTTACTGTTTCGAAACATAGTATTAGCATGTATTCACTGTGAGTATTCTAACTGGGCAGTTTATGTGACTTTATAAAGTTTGGGTGCATGACAGGTCTAAGAGTAGACAAAATTTATAAGGAAAAAAGCTTTCAATAATATACATGATTTGTTTATATCCTATTGATGCAATATTTGCACAACTTGTTATTTCTGAAAACAAGACAGTGTATCTTCAGGAGCATTTTATAGCACTAGTCAGTAGAATGAAAATGGGGTTTCTGTGAGAGGTAAGAGTTTTGCACTGATAAAATGACACCATTAAATACATCTCCAGTGCTAAGAGACCTGAACCACTTGACTGCAATGGTTAATCCAAGGTTTTACTTATTTGCTCTCTCTCCATTTCTAGCCCTTCCTGTTCTCTGCAGGACATTAAGAGAAACAGGGCTTTCTGGACAGTAATTTTGTGGCTGATCTTTCCCTAAGTAATCTTGGTTCTATTAGCATAGCCCATCAATGGACAAAGTTCTGTGGTCTGCTCACAGAAACAGCTGGCTGCTATTGTGGCTCGCTCACTTACTGTTCACTTACAGCTGTCATATAATCAAGGCTGTGAATTCATGTACTTTATAAAAAATACACTAATACTAGTATAACCCAAATTTTGTATCAGAAAAAATGTGATCTCTATAAATGCAAATTAAGTATGGCTGAAGACAGTGAACCAATTTGCAAACAATAGCAGCAAATCATGGGTTAACTACAATCAGCAGTTGGGTTAACTTAAGGCACCTTAACACATGATTAATCCATAGTATCCAGGCTTGGATGTCATGGAGCAACTTATAATCAAGCTGATCTGATGTTGCCTATTTAAAGGGACAGCAGCACACACCAAACAGATTCTATAGCAAAAACATGGGTTAACTGATGAATGATTTGCTGCTGTTATGTGGAAACCAGGTCATTATCTTGTTTTATACAACTTATTTCATTTCTAATCAGAAAGAGAAAACTATGCAAGGCATTACAGCTCTAGTTCCTGTCCACTGAAAATCCTATCAACTTTCCCCACATCCAACTTCTAGGATTTCACATGCATTTTCAAACATATTGAAGTCAACAAAGAGGAAAGACGTTTTTCATACACATACAGTAAGAGGCTTCGGATACTGCATTTCATGCTTAGTACAAATTCTATGCTTGCATGGTGTGATGTCCAAATTCTGCGTATAATTCTTGGAAGGCAAGGAATTTTAGTGATACTAAAATGAAATACAGTGGTACCTTGGCTCACAAATGCCTCGGTACACAACCAAATTGGGTCGTGAACAAAAATTTCATAAAAATTTTGACTCAGGTCACGAACTCCATATTGAGTGGTGATTGCGATCGCGGTCATCTCCCCACCCCACCTGAGTGGGGAGATGGCCACAATCGTGCTGGGGGCGGGGGAGAGATGGCCGAGATTGCGCCCATCTTTCCTGCAAGAGTGCAACCGTGATCTCGGCCATCTCCCCCCCCACAGCACGATCCTGCCCGTCTCCCCCCATGAGCACGCCCATGTTTGCGCCTGACTCCCCCCCAGCACACCCACGTTCACACCCATCTCTCCACCCAGCATGCCCGTGTTTGCACCTGCCTCTCCCCCCCCAGCCCCCCCGTGTTTGTGCCGTTCCCCCCCCCCCCCCAGTGCACCCACAATCGCGCCCGTCTCCCGCCCACCGAGTGCGCTGGGATGATGAGTGCATGTAGGGATGATGGGCACAATCACGGTACTGTTGGGGGGGGTGGAGAGATGGCTGCAATCTTTGTTGTTCTTTGCCACTTTGCTTCACATTTTTCTGATTTAAAAAAAATAGTTACAGAATGGATTAACCTTATTTACATTGAACTTTATGGGGAAATTTGACTTGGCTCATGACCAGAGTCCTGGAACAGATTAAGTTCATGAGCCAAGGTACCACTATACTTGTCTTTTAAATATGAGAATACAAAAATGGATTGGAAGGGTAATTATTAAATGAGAAGACCAAGAAGAATTTATCCACAAAGATACTGATACATCTTCAGTCAGCTGCATTCTGGAATAGGCACAGTCGTTTTACTACAAAGGTTTTACAGCCAGAATCCCATACCACACCCGGCCAGTAGAAATAAAACACTTTCCAAAGAGCCTCAGAGATTAATGGTGGTACTAGCATATTCATATTGTACAATCTAGATCAGGAAGTTAAGGTAGAGCCTTTGGGGGATTTTTAAGGCCTGGATCTGCCCTAGAATTTTTTAAAGACATAGTTGCTAAATATGCATCTAAAGTAATGCCTGGTTTGGTTCTAAGATGCTTCTCTGCAGAAAGAGAGGCAAATTCTGCTTTGGTTCTAGAAGTTAGAGTTTTAATAAGTCTAAGTCCAGCAACATGTACCGTAAATAGCATTACCTCTTTTCCAAGATTTCATTTCAGATCATTCCAAGGAGCAAGTTCCCAATGTGATGAAATAATTTAAGAACCTGCTTCTAGTCTTTAGTTCTCTCACATAAGCTTCTCCTTAAAATGAAAGTTATAAAATGCCTCCATGCCCTAGGAATCACTAATCACAGAAGAGCAGTCATTTCACCTCAACAATAAACTATTTTGGATGAGAAAACAATTATCTGTACTAAGAGATATAATGGCTTGTACTGAGAAGGCAATTTACTTTAGTGCTTCTCTCCGATGCCTGATGTGTTTTACATAAGGAAGGATATTCAAAGGCTATTTAGATTCTTTGCTGTGGTTATCTGGGACTTCAGAGACAGCTGCTTCTATTTTATTTATTTATTTATTTAAAATGGTAATATACCATTCTCCAAGATGGTTTACATATTTTTAAAACACTATCATCACAATACCATGATTAAAATTTCTTAGTGCCACTACTTGATAAAAAAGATTAAACCCCAGTTAACAATTTAAAAACTGGATAAATAAAAAGGCTTTGGCTTGGCACTGAATGAATAAAGCATCAGCACCAGGCACACCTCTCTGGGGAGTGAGTTCCATAATCAGGGGACTATGGCAGAAAAGGCTCTCCTCATATTAGTCCTCCTCACCTCTTCTAAGGAGGGCTCTCAGAGGGGGACCTTTGCAGATGATCTTAAAATTCAGGCAGGATCATATGGAAGTAGACATTCCTTTAGTTAACCAGGCCCTAAACCGTTTAGGGCTTTATATGTCATTCTTACAAGAGGGAGCTAAATTAAAAGAAAATGTTTACATTTTTCTTAACTTGGATTATGGGACATATAAAAACACTTGCTATTCTTAAATGTCTGGTGTAATCAGTTATTATTCCAATTAGACATTGCCTTGATAACCACCAAGTGACTTGCTTACCTGCAACTGTTGTTTATTTTAGTTATTTATTTCTTGATTTATAGCCTGCCTTTTTCCTCAAAGGGCTCAAAGCAGCTTACATCATTCTCCTCCTCCATCTTATCCCCACAACAACAACCCTGTGAGGTAGGTTGGGCTGAGAGCCTGTGACTGGCCCAAAGTCACCCAGTTGGCTCCATGGCTGAACGGGGACTGGAACCCAGATCGCCTGAGTCCCAGTTCCATGCTCTTAACCACTACACCACACTGGCTCACCACACTCGTTCTTCCAGTGGACATCTGTGCATTCACTCATATGGACTCTGAGCAAGTGAGGCGCCTGCTTTGGGAAGATTCTACACCTAAGATTTATTTGGCAGGAACCCTTCCCCCAGCCCCACCCAGGCATGAGGGAGGAGTTCCTGCTCAAGGTCGTGTTGTTTGTTTCCCATACTTTGAGCATTGGTGGAGGGGTATCAAAGTTCATTCTCATTGTACCCTGGTTTTCTTCCTACCTTTTTTGGAAGACTGATGTTGGGCCCTGCTTGAGGTTTTTACTCTGTTGAAATCCACAAGTCTTTGTCAGGTGATGATATACTATGCTGCACATCTCCCTCCCCGGTATGTTTCAGTATAAAGCTCTCTTGATTAACTTTTTCATGTAGTGTCCAAACACACGCTTACCATTCTTTGCGAGGTGTAACCCATCATTTGTCAATAGTTCATCTTCCAGAAACCTTAACTTGTGCTTCCAGAATCCAAATCTCTTTACAGCACCACCATTGTAGCCAGTCATTCACTTGAAGAATTTATTTTTCTCTACTATGTGCTGGTAGGTTTGGGGAGAAGACTATCTGGACCCCAGTGTTCTAAATTTGCCTCCTCAGTGCTTCATAGTCTGATATTATTTCATCAAAGCTTCTCCTGGCAGTGTCATTAGTTCCCACATGGATGAGAAAGAAGGGGTATTTTTCAGCGGGTTGTATGAGATGCGTGAACTTATTGGTTATATCTTTAATCTTCGTTCCAGGGAGACAGCATACTTGGCAATTTTCTGGTTCACTGCAATATTCCTATTTTTCCATTTCACGCAACAGGAAATCTCCCACAACTATCACTCCTCTCCTTTTGATGTTGCAAACTGTGGTATCTTTTACCTTACCTGATAGACTTTTTGTCTCTTTTTCAGAGTTACTCAGTGTGTCATGTAGTTCTTTCACAGTGGGTTTCTCACTTGTCTCTTCCTCAAGCAATTTAAAGTGGCTTGAGAGTTCCACTGCTTCCACCAGTACAGAGTGGCTTCTAGTTCTTCTGCATCTGTCACCCTGTTCCAGGGAATTTTCTCAATTTCCTTCCCTCAGGGTTCTCTTCTTCTGCCACAGTTAATTGGTGCACTTCTTGCTTCTGGACTACATTTAGCTGTTGCAGTTTCACCACTCTGTCTAAAAACTCTTAATCTCCTTTTATTCTTGAGGGTGGACACCTGCTGCTCCAGTGCTCTCATCTTTTCTTTTAATAGGGCTATTAGCTTGCAGCTGTTGCATATGTAGGCCATGTTGCTCTCAGGTAAGGAAACAAACATTGCATAGTTGTTGCAGGTCACCACCACTGTGGGGTCTTTTCAGTCCATTCTTTGTGCTACTTTTGTGAATCTGTCTTGTGGGGGGGTTGGGTGGCTGTTGTGACAACCGGTGCTGTCTCCTGTCTTCACTAAAGGTTAACAACACAGTCCTACTAGTAAATGAGAGCGTGTTACAAGGAGGAGGGAACTAAGGGGAAAGAAAGAAGAACTGAGAAGTGGGCAGGTACTCTTCCCTCATGCCTGAGTGGGGCTGGGGGAGGGGTTCCAACTGAATAAATCTTAGCTAAAGAATCTTCCCCAAGACAGGCTGCATGCATGCACAGAGCCCATATGTGTGATACACAGAGTCCACGAAGAAGAATGTCTCTTTCCTCATCCACATTTTTCTGAAATGTATAATCTAACCAGAAATGTGTGCCAAATGCATGTTGCTGACTACTTCTCATGCTAAACAACACTGGCTAGCAATGTCAGTATTTTGGTCCTTTTGCCAATATGACAGGATGACATAATGAACGCTTCACCATTTTGTCATTTGGTCTGCTAGCCTACTGTGTAATGTACTTGCTCTCCAATTGCAGCATCAAATGACCTTCTTTGTGAAGCTGCATCAGTGGAAGGATAGAAAGTGGAGGGAGCCATCTGATGGAAATGAGGCTAGGTATTCTTCTGGTCTTTTCCAATTCTATAAACTACAGTTTCAAGGATGATCTCATCAAGCATCAGAGGCAGCCACTCCAGACAGCAGATGTTAGATGCATTCAAAGGCAAGTGGGTGGGGGGTGGGGGGAGGCAGAGATCCATTTCACGCAGCATAAGCTACAGGAAAGTAAGCTCCATTACAAGGAATGGGAACTATGCTAGAGCTCTGTATTTGTTAATTGCAGTAGGGTTGTCATTTGGGATATTCTGCCTCAGGTACCAAGTTTGAGACAATCCCCACAGGAATGGCCTTTTGTTGAATTCAGGAGCAGAAAATGTGGGATCCTCCAGCTGTTGTAGAACTTCACTGCTGATCAGTACGGTCAGTAGTCAGGGATGTTGCAATTCCAACAAGGCCAAAAATTATTTCTCTACTTAGAGTTAATGAGGAATTCAGTTTCTCACATCTGCAAACCATAGTATATTATGATCTGAGTGCAGAAAGAGGGAAGTAGTACTGAGCAAAGAAGAGACCGTGCATTCCAATGAGTAATGGAATCTGAAAGCTATAAAGAAGTCTATAAGCTCACTGATCAAGCTGTCAAGCTTTTTTGTAATTTAGGACACATGCAAAACCCCCCAACCATTAACCAAATTACCACTCCTAACTTGATTAGATAGATGTTAGCTTAAAGGCAGCATTTGTTTTCTTCAATGGAAATTTAGTACTAGCAATAGAAGTTTAGTAAGGATGCAGATGAAGAATAGTGTTAGAATAACTGTATATGTAAACATTTCCACTCACTGAAATTTAAATAATTAATTTTAAAAGATGATTTTATTAACTTTAAGGAGTTTGATAGATTAATTCTTGTCCACTCACCTGGACATGATTTATAATGATCAATGCATTATTATTACTATTAATGATAGATGAGTTTAGTATTTTATAAATTTAAAATGGTTGTATTCTGGTTTTTTGATTGTTATACACTGTCTAGAAAGTCCTTCAGGCTGCTTGGCAGCATATAAATACAATAAAAATGAATGTAAAATAATATGGATACAATTCTTCCTTGATGTGTGCTTAAGAGCAGATCTGTGCTTCCGCCTAAATTTAATAAAAGCACTTTTGAAAGCCAGGCAGACTATTTTATCATACTAAATATTTCACTGCAAGGAGAAAGGAAAATTTCCTCCACAGAATACAGTGTAACAATACATTGCTCTGACTTGTAACATTCAAAACATTCTATAGCAATGAACACAGAACTTACAAAACATTTACTGAGATGTTACAAAACATGCAAACAACAAAGAATCATTCAAAGCTAAGAGCACAATGACCCAAAGCAAAATAATAGAAAAAATGGCTAGGCAATCAGCTATCTCCTGATGCTCCTCTGCAGTAAGAAATGTTATATTCCACAAAACTTCAAAAGCGGAATTCCGATCTGTTCAGTCTTCCCAAGGAAAGAAAATCAAAAGTGGAATTCTAAAGCATGGGAGTAACATCTCTGACCCTATTTTCCGCTAAGCTGAATGAGGAAAGCCCTTCTGGGGTTTTAAGGATCTTCTTCCACTTCTCTGGTCTTCCCCACTTCCATGCCTGCACCACCCTCTTTTAAGGCTTAGATGATTCCAGCAATGCAGAACCAGATCTCTATCACTATTCCATAACCATCTGCTGTTTCCCCATCAGCTTGACTGGAACCTATGAGTAACTTGGAAGGCAACAGGTCTTATGACAGTGTGATGAGATGCTGGAGGAGGAAGAGAAGATCCGGGGGCTTTTCTCCATCACTTTTTTTTTTTAAAGTAGCAGTAGATCATAAGCTACAGTTAGCCATTTCCCCCCAGCATTTACACTTATTTCCATTTTATCTTGCTTTTGGTTTCAATGTCTGATTTGTAAATCTCCTTGAAGCCAACACCATAAATCCTGCCCCTTGCCATGTTAGAATTGATATAATGGCTAGGGATACTACAGATGGTGGTGTCGGGTGGAATACTGTTCTAATCTTTAATTTTTCGTATTCAGGCAAGCTGCTGTCTAGTGAGTCATTATACAAAACTATGCAGAGCACAAAGGAATACAGAATCTAGGGAAATGGTTACAACATCCAGAGTTGGGGCTGGGACAGGCCAAAGGTTTCTGAATGGTATTAAGATGAATAGCATAAACACACACTTAAAGCATAATTTTGTTTGGTAGTGAGCTAGCTATATCCAGAAGTTGCTGAAACTAAATTCCACAAAGTTGTATTTGCTAATTCATTCCTATTCATATTGGAGTCTCCTTTTGAATTTTATTTTTGTTGGAATAGGGCAACTTTAACATCCACTACAGAATTACCTGTGAATACAAAGATGGCTTCCACTGCTTTTAGTATTAAAAGTTTTAATGCCTTTGAGCTGCTCGACTTATGTAAATGACAGGAGAGCATTGTTGACAGATAGCATCTAACCATCATATTAGGAATGCTGCAGAACAATAAGTCTATGGTAATGTTGTCCATGTAGTATTCAAGAAATATGAAGACATAAGGAGCTCATTTTAAAAACTTCACTACTCTTAAAACTGTAGCTGCCAGCAATGAAGTTATGTTAGCATAGCTACCACAATGGAGATCACAAAATAGAAGCTTTATAATCTCCCTTCAGTGAACATATGCATTTGTTAAATGGGGAGTTGTAGAAGACAGGATTTCTTTACAAGACATTCATGGTTTCTATATTCTTTACTAGGCTGTCCCACTGTAGGTGAATCCTGGGTACTCTCTAACCTTGTCCATCTGTTTCTTCACTTGCTTGATTTAATATGGTATATTAAAGAAGAACAGATATAAATCCTGCAGGTGTTCCTCTCTGTAAGAAGGAATAAAGAGACTGCAGAATTGGGTCCTAAATGGATTGTGCTATATATTCCAGACAGTAACTGGAAGCATGCTAATTATGTGTGGCAGTGAATTGGTTTCCAATCTGCTATCTGAATTGTGTTTAGAAGGTAGTATAGAAATTATTGAACTTTGTGAAATTTCTCAGAGGCTTTCCCTTCACAAGAATTCAGGTGATGAAGATATATTGTATAACTCTCAAGCAGAAGAAGGCCTTTTAAGAGTCAGGAGCTGAGGAGGTATTGCTGTAGATCAGTCAAAAATATGTTGGCATACTGTGGAGCCATACAAGTGTATGCAAACTGTCCTCAAGTCTGAAAAGCTCAGCAGCCTGATATGCTGTAGAATCACTAAGACCAGCATTCCTAATGGCTTGCAGTTCATCTCTACATGGGGTTTTTGTAGGCCTCCATGGATGCTAGAATAGTGCTTTGCTGGGGGATCATCAACTGCCTGTACTTTCATAAGAGAGTATGTGGGTCCTCTAAAGAACTACAGGAGCTAGTAGCATAGGACATGAGGATAAAGTTCACACAATAAACCACACCTGCTGTGAAAATTACATTGCTTCATCCTGAAAAAGGCACTATGTCATCTCTGCTCCTTCCTTTCTCATCCATTGCTGATATGAATGCAAAAGGTATTTACAGCCACTCCTCTTGCTTGTAACCTTGTTAGTATGCAGCTAAGAATAATGTTTGTCTGCCAGGCACTGACAGAGTTAAGATCGCATCAGGGAGCAAGCATTGCTGCAAACAGAAGACTACCTTCAACACACTGTTCTAGAGATTAATTTACATACATATTTCACATTCATAGGGCTGAAATTGGCTGGAGGACAGAAACAGTGGCTTGGGAAGTTATAAAAAAAGGCTTCAACAACCTAGTAATTGATTTTAACCACACAATGGTTGAAAGGGAGAACACACAGAATTTTTTTCAGTTTTCTTTACAATAAAGAACAATAATTAATACTAATTGCAATAAAGGGCAAACAATGATTCTATTACTAAACTGTGTCATACCTTTTCACTGTTTCTGTATTTTCCCCATTTTTTTAACATCTTCAGCCATTTGTCCACTCGTTCAATCTCTTGAAGTTTTTGCTGGAAAAGCATTTTGAAAGTGACATTCAGGATTTTTTCTTCCACTTTATGTGAACAAAGAAAGAGAGACCTGGATATCCAGGTCAGCACACTATGGTGTCACGTTTGTGTAAGATCCAGGAAATCTAAGCAACTCGCTTCCCCTCCCCAATTCTATCCTAGAAAGTTGTTATTTTCAAGGGGGAAAGTATCCTCTATCCCATTCTTTCAATTGACATAGTATTAATGTTTGAACCTCATCCAAACTGAAGCTGTACACTATTAAGTAGACAACATAATACTCTTCCCCAACTAGCAATGCTGGCAGGGAATATTGGGAATTGTACTCAACACTTCTGCAGAGCACCAGGTTTGAGAATATTGTGTTAGCCCATTTACCTTTAAGGGGATAAATAAGATAAGACTGACAATTAATATACCGAATGACATGAGGATAGTTATAAGAACTTGTGGTCCTTGACATAAAATCTATACCCAGCAGTAGGATACTGTGTCTCCCCCTCTCAACCAGATTTTCATAACTGATGACTATGATTCATGTCTTTGTAATTGGTCTACTCTCACCCTCACCCCTGAGATTTATCTGCAAGGCTCAGCTGCCCTTCGGAAAGCTGTTCCTGGAATATACAAGAAATCCCCACTTAGACCAAGCTAAATTGCAGCAAGCAATCCCCGTTTTGTAAAGTGCAGCTTTTGCTGTTTTAGAATTCAAAAAGGAAACCTCTTTAAACCTTTTTGATAATGTTCCATTATCTTCATAACTGGTTTCATAAAAAGTTTAAGCACCATAAGAATTAAGTCTCATTGAAATCAATGGATTTACTTCCAAGTAAACATGTTGAGGAAATATTTTTATTTACTGAATGAATTGGATTCTTATGCTAATAACAGCATTGCCTTCCGTCCCTTGCTATTAAAAAGCAAAGCCAGCAGCAGCTTCTGCCTCCCCACAATCCCTCCACAGAAGATAAAGCTTCCAGCTCCTACCTTCTGCTCCAGAGCACTGCGGTTTGGTAGTTCATGCTCACTGAAAGAATAAAAAATTCAGACTGAACCAATGTGTAATTGATACAAACATGGGCTGTACAGAAAAGAGTCCTGAAGTTTTTCTTCAGAGGCTGAGTGAAAAGCAGCAGCCTAATTTGTCTTGTTTGCTAAGGAGTTCCTATTAAGTTGCTCCTTTGTTTATTTCATATTTAATTCTATTTCTTAATGACTGGATAACTCCTGAAATATTTGGAAGCAACATCAGGAGGGTGATCAGTTTGAGTTCCTGTTCACAGGTATAATTCATGCATTACACATAACAATGAAACTATGGTAGCCTAACAATTGCAATGGAGATAATAAATCAATGGGAAGGGATAGTGAGAGTCCCTTGTGGTGAACACTTGAATCATTTTAAAGGGAAGCTGAGGCAGATTTGAACACTTTTAGATTTCCTTAAAAGATAATTCATGGTTTCCAGGAACTCTGATCACATCAGAAGTATATAATATGCCTGCAGGCAGAAGATGCATACATTGATTTCTGGAAACCAAGTCCTATCACACCTTATCCGATATACAATGGCTGCTTTCATTAGCAAGAAAAAGCCATTCTCTATGTTTCTCATCTCCATAAGTGGACTGAAATGATAGGTACAGGCACAGCTCAGACGGAGTGAATACTGAACAAAGCTACAACGCAGCCACAAATCAGTGAAAGGGTGCAACAGTAAGCCTCAATGCCAGTTTCAGCAAAGGATTTAGGGGGCAGAAAAAGTGGAACTTACTGCAAAAACCCGAATCTGTCTGTAACTTTGTAGAGAGTGAAGTCAGCATCTTCCCATGGATCAATCTGAGCCCCTTCCTGCCTTCCCTGTAAACAAAACAGTAAAGTACACTTAAGTTGCTTTACCTTTGTTTCATGTAAGAAAATACCAACATTTTATTTTATTCCCCCTCCCTCTTTTCTTCAGTCTGATTTTGACTTTGATTTTAAAATATGAAGGAAAAATACAAATCATGGTGGAAGGCCTCGGCAGTTATAGGTGGCCTATAAATACACACATATAAAAACAAACAAACAAACAAACCTAACAGCATAAGACTTCTGCATAATGATGGCATTTTAAGAAGCAATGCAAGAAGACAACATATATTCTTATGACATTTTCATTCATGCAAAACTAGCTTTTGTTTGATGACATACCATGTATATGCTGAAAAGATTAGACAGTTAACAAGGTGATAGGTGGATTTAAGCCAGTTATGTAGAGTGGCAGCCATTTTCCTATGTGCTTATCCTATGCACACTGAACCACTAAAACATAACGGTTTTAGTTTTGTTCAGCTCTACTGAAACTGCCCTTGAAACCTGTTACTATTCTTCTTTTTCCCTTATGCTGCTAGTATGTTTCAGTATCAAATTGGGAAGGACCTTTTAAGAGGCTACATATTCTGCATATGAAGGAACAAGCATCAGTAATGGAAACCCATAATGAAGTACATGCAACTCTCCTGCCATCATTTTTAGAGTCAGAATTGTTCAGACTCACTATAAAGCAGCTTCCATATTCATTTGCCTATCCAAGTGTAATGACCAAAAAAATGGAGTGGGCTCACCATGAAAGCATAATTCTATTTGTTTATAATTTCTTTACTGAGCCCTCTTAAACCAATATATTTTTAAACTACCCCAGTATAGTATAGAACATTAAAATGACTCCAAGGCCATCTTAAATCACTTCTCCCAAAGCAAATCTGAAATGGCTTTGCAGTGTTTCTTGACTTTGGCAACTCTCCAGAAAGAAACAAGGAACAGCCACAGAAAACTCTGACGCCCCATCATAAGAACCTGAAGCACCAATGGGAAGCTCTGAGAGATCTGACAGATTGAGATGACACAGCAGGGGATTTGAGAATCCAAAAACCTTAAGCAACTGCATAAGTTGTGATCACTTAGTTTTATCTGGAAGTTATACTAGAATCCATGTCTGATGACAATGGGACTCCTGAAAAGGCTACAGAGGCCATCAAAACATCAAGGCCAACTCTGACAGCAAACTAACCTGTGTTGTTTCTTATGAGTTTCATCTCATGGTCACTTCCTTTGAGATAGGCTGCCATATGAAGGACACATGAAATAGCCTCCAGGTGGCAGGTGCTCCAAAAGAGCAAGTCACTCTCCTCAAAAATCCATGGACCCTCAAGAATGTGCAGCTGAAACCATACCAGCCACTTCACTTTCACTCAGCAACCCACAAGCAACTCCTCCATAAGCTTTTGAGTGTGCTATGTGAACATGGGCCAATCAATTTTTAGGTGCTAAACTACCCAGCACTTGCTCCAACAAACCATGAGGTCTTACCTTCTCATACTTAGCAATGATTTCTGCTCTTTCCTCTGCTATTAAGGCATCTATGTCTTTCTTCATGTCAAAAGCTGTAAGAAAAGGTAAAAATAAACAATGAGATAATGAGCAGACAGTATACATTGCACAGGGAGCATTCTAGAAAGTGGTAAAAGCAATGTTGACAACTAGAAAATATAAACATTATTATAGACTTATAGTCTAAGGCTGCAAAATCCAAAGAACACTTTTTATGTAGTTCATGTTAGGCAATACAGACATTGTGTTTCAGCAGTCTAGTATATTTGAAAAAAACATTCCTTTTCCTTACAGGAAGAAGACAATTGGGATCAACCACAGATACCAGTTACGACATAAGAAAAACCATGCTGAGTCAAATCAAGGCCCAAGTAGTCCAGCATTCTATTCAAACAGTGGCCAACCAGTTGCCTGTGGGAAATCCACAAGCAGGGCAAGAGTAACAGCACCCTCCCAACCATGTTCCCTGCCTTTGATGCTGGAGGTACCTCATGTTCTATGATTTGATCAATCCCCTTTTAATGTCATCTGATTTGGTGGGCAAACTATATCTTCTGGAAGTGAATTCCATTTTTATAGAATATGTGTTGGTGAAGAAGTAATTCATTTCATCTGTCCTGAACCTCCCCCACCACAATAATCAGCTTCGTGGAATGATCCTGGATTGTAATATTATAAGAGAGGAGGGAAAATATGCAATTTCTAATTTCTTCATACTACACATCATTTGTATACCTCCATTATATCTCCCCTCACTTAGCCTTTTTTCTAGGCTACACAGTTCCAGATGTTGTTGCTGTACGGAGTGCAGTTCAAACAATTTTTATCTCATTAACCGGTTCTCTTTCCAAACTGAACAGAATTATTTTAAATATTTAAATTTGGGGGAACTAATTTTACTCACATACTGTATTGTTTTCGAGTTATGCTTTACGGAGTTAAACAGGTGGCTACAAGGGCTGACTACATTGGCTAGCAGCCTTCCTGGGAGCTCCATGCTTATAGAAGCCCAACAAATCAGCTGGCTGCCAATTCTGATAGGCTGGCTGACCTTCCTGAATAGCTAGGACTTTGGTTAACTGTTTTTGCCATTTGCCATTTTACCCTGTCTGCAAATGCAGTATTTTAAAATTGCTTAGATCTGGCTGTATTTTATAACAGTTTTCACTAAGAGCATTTGGCCCTTTGTGATATAAATTTTTCAATGAACTTGTTCTGACAGCAATGAACTTTTTAAGTCTGCCAAGCTCCACATGTAAAACATGAGTATACGGTGAAGCACTATATTGAATCTGAACATTTTACTAAAGGGGTATTATAAATAAAAGGTGTACTGCTGTTAAAACATCTTAGCAATTCGAATTTTGTGAGTTTTATGAACAATTTTAACAGCATCTTCAATCCATGTTCAGACATAACCAATTGACAAAAATTCTGTTTCTTACAGGAGAAAGCAATATATCACTTCCATTTTTACAATAGATGTATGCATTCCATCATCTGCACATGTAATTACCAAAATTAATAACAGTGTCAAAAGCTGGATTAGAGTCAGAAGGAGCAGGAGCAAAAAATGGTGGAAGATGCATCAATCGTTCAGGATATCTGGATATCATATCACTAACAGAAAGCAGCAAATTGAAATGCTTCCTGATTAAAGTGAAAAAAGTACAAAAGCAGCAGAATATTCAGTTGAATATTAAGAAAACAAAATCATGACCATAGACAACTTTACTATCAGCAACAAACTGAAACTGTGAAACACTTTGCAGACCTTGGCTCAAGCATCAGTTCGAAGGGAGAGTGCAGCCAAGGTATTAGAGGGCTGAGACTTGGAAGAGCAGTGATGAAGAAATGTTCATCAAGAGTAAGATCTCAGTGGAGAACAAGGCCAAGATCACCCATACTACTGGATTCACAACCACTATGTCATACATCAACACAGTGCGCCATCATTGCTATCTGTGCAGTTCTGACTCATAAGTATGTTGTTTCATGACTGATGGAGCAATGGAAAAAATCCTTTTTGGTGAATACAGGTTGTATCTGATGATGATGATACCACCACACATACATAAGCATGCACCTGTTACTTACAGGTTCACTTATGTGTACTTAGGATATGGTCTTTGTTTTCTAAATTTTTCTAACCTGCCTTGGTTTCAAAGAAACAACAACAATGCATATACACTGGTTAAATAGTAAGCAGAGTTCATAAGCCACAGTCTATCATTGTTTTCTACTGCAATCTGATCTGTTCTTGGATCTTAGAAAGAGGAGATACTCCAGGGTTCTTTGTAGAAAAATGGAATGCAACAGAACAGAAGAGGGAGGATTAATTCTATATATAAAATTAATTTTGTTATGTCAAGGAATTGCGAACTCCCCATCCAGTTGTTAACGACAGGGATAAGGTCTCACAGGATCAAGAATAGTGGAACTCTCCAGCTTTAGTAGATGAATCAAAACAGGATGCAAGAGAAGCTGTGCTGCCAGGAACACCAACACATTGAACTACTTGAATCTATGTTGTTAAACAAGACAGGAAAAGTTTCTGAAATAAGGGCACAATCCTACTGAGATTCATCAGCCTCTGAACTTGGAGGCCAATGATCATCCCATGTGGCAGAAGGAGCAACAGAGGTGTTCTTTGCCACTCTACTCTTCCTGCTCGCATTTTCACTAGATGCCCATTGTTGGCCATCTATCTGGGGCACTTTGGATAGGCAGGGAAGGAGCTGAAGAGAACACAAGGTGGATCATACCATGGCCTCTGCAGTGTCCTCCTCTCCCTGACAACTGGACTTTCCCCTTTACTCCTTTTCTGAAGGTGAGTTCCCAGAGGCAGGATTGGAATGCATATCCCCAACTCTAAGCTCATATCTGTGAATTTGAAATATCTTATGGGCCCTTGGACACTGTCTAGAGCCATAGGGATTGTTCCCTACATAATTAAGTAACTACAAAATATGACACAGGTTTTATTTATTTATTACATTTATATACCACTCAATAGTCAAAGCTTTCTGGTTCACAACAATTACAACCATAACATACAAAATAAAAGTACCATACAAAATAGAAATAAAAGCCACAGTAAAACCTAGCAGCAATACAAACTTCTAAATTACAATAAAAGATTTAAAACAAAAGGGATTTGGAAGACAAAAATCCTGAGACAAGGTCTCTGCCTGGCACCAGGAAGAACACAATCTCAGTGTCAGGCAACCATCTCTGGAAAGTTCTTTCCCACAGCTGGGGTGCTTCAGCCAAAATGGCCCTTTTTTTCACCACCCAGCTCACTTTCTTCAGTAGGGGCTTCTGGAGAAGGGCTGCTGAGGCCAAACATAGAGTCCAGGCAGAAATATATGGGATGAAATGATTCTTCAGGCAACCTGACTCCAAGCCTTTAAGGATTTTGAATATTAATACCAGCACTTTGAATTGGGTCTGAATATAAACTGGCAGGCAGTGCAGATGGTACAGTACAGGTCTAATATGGCATTAACATTGACCAGTCCTCATTAACTATCTTGTTGTTGAACCAGCTGAAGTTTCCACACCATTTTCAAAGGCAGCCATATTACCAGAACATGGATAAGTAGGCTATCCATGTTCAGACAAGGACAGAGTTGATAAAGTTGATAAAAGTTGAGCTGATAAAAGGAGCTCTGTGCCATCAATCCCCCTGTGCTCCACTGACAATGAGCACCCAAAACTCCTCCGAACTACAATTCTGAACCTTTAAAGTAAAAGGAGTGATGAGAAATAGTCTAAAGCTGAACATGCAATGAAAAAGCCCTAGGCAAAAGACAGCCCAAACAGAGCTGGTCTTCGATGGAGAAGATGCCACTGAATAGACAGAGGAAAAAACCCACACTGCCTCTAGTCAAAGGGGACACATGTTCATTAAAATACTTCCCCTGAACATTCTTTCAAAAGCACTGAAATCACATAAGCATTCTTTAGAAAATGAAAGAAGTGAATGAGACAGACCAAACAATGATGGGCCTTACCTGAGATGGCTATTATGTCTAGCACTGCACCAGTTGAAGCTACAGTGGCCTCTCTTGTCTTGATACTATCCAACAGAAAACATTCCCAATGATCAAGGATTGCCAATTGGCTCTTCTGTTTGCAGTCAACTCTTTCAGGCAGTTCTTAGCCTAATTATGCTCATATTTGCCCACTGTCAGTGAAAACTTGTTTGCCTTTTCTGTTGGTTTTCTACACCTGTGTTGGTCATTGATCACGTTGAAAGGAATTACACAGTAGGAGCTCTTCCTATGCAGATAATCTCATTCTCCCACTGCATTGACTGAAAAAGAAAATCCAACAGAAATATTTTTTTAGCATCTAGAGCTGTGGCCATTCCCACCACCACCACTGTTCCTGCTTTCTTCTGATATTATTTTGTCTTACACAGGATGCAAGTACAATGCCAGAAGAGTAAAGATATGTCTGCATGGCAACTTTCCATGCTATTGATGTCAATTCTTATCAGCCTTATGAACAAGTTCACAAAAATTGCTAGCCCATAAAACATTGACTGTACTGCTTTTTCGCATACCTCTATGCTGGTAATTGCAGCACACTGACAGTCTGAAAAATTAACAAAACAACTTTTTTCCTAATGTCCACATGGTAGGATTTGTGAGACTTGTTTTTAGACCTAAAGAAAAGAATTTGCTGGAGGTATCTGCAGGCTTCCAGTAAGTGCTACATTAGAAGCACTTGAAATGTACATAGAGACTGCCACACAGAACAGGAGACACATTTTCTGTCAGTTTGAAAATGGAACTTATATTGCGACTTGCTTGGCTCTTCACTGTAGTATGGCCTGCCAAGCACTGAGAGAAGGAAAATCACAGTGCCAGTCTCTGTGCACTTACCCTGTGAGCTGATTCACACAACATGACAACCCATAATGCACAGCTAGCTAGCTGTTTGTCATCAGAACCCAGCCTGGCTTACTCGTGGTGGCTTGTTCTTTTCCTAGCAAGCCATCAGATGAACCCAACAGATTCTGGCTTAGGTTGTCATGCTTCCTGTACCTGGATAAACAATCCTGCTGTAGGTAAAATACAGTTGCACACTTGGCAAGAATAACAGAACCTACTCGCTGCCCTGGCCACTGCCTGTGTCAGCCACTCTCCAAGTACCCAAGCAGCACATGTTGGGTAGCAGTGGTTTGCTTCTCTTCCCTGCCATGATCAAGAACTATCCCAATTAAAAATTCCTATTGCCCTGTTAAGAAAAATAAAAATAAAAGGTTTTTCTTAATTTTTTTAAGAAAAAGATGAGGCTAAACTTGTACATGATTATATTGTTTATAGGTCACACGGGCACTGTATGCAAAGTACTCCTTATATAAAGGAGTGAATTGTGAACTGTACACCTAATTTACCTAAACTATCTACATGATAAGATTTGTAGTATCAGTAATATTTCTTGCTAAGGCATAGAAAAATTCTTCTTATCCTGGTAAGTATGCACCAGCCTCAGTGAAGTGATCTAAATAGCTAGCACATAAAAGAAAGAAAGAACACTGGTGAGAGCTCTTAGCAGGACTATAAGGGTGAAGTGTTCTTCATACAACCTGCTGTCATGCTCTTAAGGCCACTCATTCATTCCTTACGATGTTCCAGGTACATTCTGAGCCAAGTTAGAATATATTGTAAAAGTTTACTTTTATGTACACACATGCACATGCACGCACACACACACATATGGCAATTAACCTGCCATCCTTACCTACCAACCCAATTATAAATACAACAGAGTTATGGCAGCTACACTGGATCACCAGCATGGCAACACTGTCTTGCCTATTTTCTAGTGATTTGATGAGTAGGATAGTGTTGTTTCAACAAACCAGCAGAATACATTCCTTCAGTTGAAAATAAAGAAACAAGCAGCTTAAAATGTAGGTGCAATGTTGGAGAAAACATGCTACTTTAAATAGAAATATTTTTCAGTTAACCTTTTCTTTCAAGACTTCTGCAACAATTCTTCATCGTCTGCTATCTTTAGATTTGCAGGGCATAATTAAGACAAACATTTGTTTTGTTTCAGCCTGAAACTCATCTGCCAGATGATGGAGTTTCAAGATAAGCAGGTAGTTTTTTTAGGCTAAGTTTAAAAACAACACACAGACACAAATCTTTTAGCTTAACCCATATTAACATGTAAAAACAATACAGAAAAGGGCAGAAAATGCTAGAAAATATCTTAAGTACAGAAATATTTCTTATGCCTCTCTTCCCACAAATTTTACAAGCCAATTCATCATTCTATACTATATATATGATGTGCAACAGGGATCAAAAAAGTGTAAATGTCCCTTTGGAAGTAGATGTACAAAACTGAAAAGTTCCAAAGTTGTTAACAACTAGCTCATTCAGTTTATTTGAATATCTACCAAAAAAACTAGCCGCTGAAATCACCCCTGAAATTGAAAAACAAAAAATGTGTTGGATTTCCTTTAAGATTAGTAAGTTTTATACTAACTTGATTCAAGCTTGCTAAGTCTCCCTATATCAGTGGTTTCCAAACTTTTCTATGCCCCACACCGCTAGAAAATGTTTATGTTCACACCCCCTACAAAAATAATAGCACATTTGAAGATGAAGAAGTCAAATTCTGTTTTTTAACCATATAGAGTACTGCAGGTGAACATACTGAACTAAAAAAAAAAAAAATAATAACTCAGTGCATAAAATTCCATTTTGGTGAATCGTGATGCAGTCTTCCTCTTTGTTGCATGCCTTGAAATGCCATCTTGTATCCCTTGGGATGCAGGCACCCCAGGGTGGGAACCCTTGGTCTATAGAATAACTCACAGATACAGGCATTTTTAAAAATCCATGGTACTTGAAAGGTCAGCACACGTTTAAGAGGCAAGCTCACACCCTTCCTGGTGGGGAAAGAGGGGTTTTGTTTCTCTGAGCCACTTTCATGGAATACTTGGCAACAGTTGCTGCCAATTACCTCTAGACATAGTTTTTTTAAAAAAGCAACTGCAATATGACACAGTACTTCATGGCAAGAGAGGAAAAACATGCACTGGTTTAGGCTGCAAATTTTCTGCCTAAACCAATATAGGATTCTAAATTTACATCTTAAACTCTTGCAGCTGCTTTTCAATGACTTTTGTTTAAAATTGAAGATCTCTTCAATCTACAATGCCACTGGAGCTTCTACAGATACCATAGCCTACTGTTCCTCACTTAACATCTAGCTCAGAGGGGTATTTTTTTGCTATTTACTAGCTGGAAAAGTTTTTGGCATTGGAAGTGACATTCACATAAAACAACAAATCTCATACTACAAATATTATCAATTAGGCTGGTACAAGAGAAATGACGATCACTTTCTTTTTCTTCATCTGAAGGCAGCCATAGGACAACATGCAGTGGAAAAAATGCTTATCAATATCAGTTATTCAATAATGGCATTTAAATACAAGATTGAGAAGTAACAAAGATTTGAAACTCTCTGAAGCAAAACCCTGAGGAATAGCTCATGCAAGTCCTTGAGCTGTTCTTCACAGCAGAAGGTATCAAGACAATTACCTCTTACTTTATACAACTGTATAGTAAGTAAAAAACAGACAAAAGATTTGGTAGTCTATTTTTTCAGTGATGCCTTTACTTAGCCCGTCTTAGCCTATTTATGTCTCCAGGACGACTTGATTCTTCTTCTCCATCCTAAGCATTCAAAAGGGGAACTTCAAGGAAGCTTGGAGGGTGGCAACAAGGGACAGGGGCTTTCTTTGTGGTGGCCCTCCATCTCTGGGACAACCCCCTCACTGTGGCCCACCTGGTGCCACCAACTTCAGAGCCAGGTAAAGACTGCCTTTTATGCCAAGGTTTTTAAAAATTTACTGGCTACTTGGGGCTTGAGATTACACATCTCAGGCATTTTCCTTTTTTTGCAGGGACCTTTTTACTATATATTATACTTATATTACTTTTCACTGATGTTTGGATTTTATGATATTTGCATTGCATTTTGTTTTCTTTTATGGATTACTGTAAACTACCCAGAGAGCTTTGGATATAGAGCAGTATAGAAATTCATAATAACCCCGTACTGCGATCTAAGGACTGAGGGTGCAATCCTATTAAACATGACTTCAAAGCCACTATGCTGAGCCTCACCATAAAACAAGACTTTGGCCCTTCCTTATCAAAATTCTGTTCAACTGACTTGATATACAGGGTGTGCCAAAAGTAGATATACAGTAATGATCAGGTCATGTTTAGTCTCTTAGGCACTTGAAATATCCTCCATCAATATTGCAACATTGCTGGAACCTGTCTCCGACACTGTGACAGAAATCCCAACATTTAACACGAACATCAATAAATGCTTGTGAGATGAACTCCTTCAATTAGTCCACTGTTTGAGGTTCTCCATGTCCCAATCAGTACTGTATACCTACTTTTGGACCACCCTGTATATTGCACTGGCTACCAATTAAGTCTCATTGAAATCAATGGATTTACTTCCAAGTAAACATGTTTAGGAAATATTTTTATTTACTGTGTGAATTGGATTCTTATGCTAATAACAGCATTGCCTTCCGTCACTTGCTATTAAAAAGCAAAGCCAGCAGCAGCTTCTGCCTCCCCACAATCCCTCCACAGAAGATAAAGCTTCCAGCTCCTACCTTCTGCTCCAGAGCACAGTGGGTTGGTAGTTCACACTACACTATCCATCAAAGTCTAGCCCCATAAAGGAGATCAACAACAAGCAACCCCCCTTTCCTATTCATTATATAGAACTGCACGCTGTTGGCTTATAGAAACACCACAGTAAGGATACAATATGGTTGAAATACCATTTATTGTTTAGAAAGAAGTGAACTAAGAATGATCAGAGAACTATTTTTAGTTCAACATTCCTTATTCTGAGATGATCTTATATCACTAACATATTCATATATCGTGAGAGTCAAGAATATATGTTAGAATATCTTCCAGTCAACTCAGAGTGGGATGCAATTGTCCATGTTGATTTTTTGCATCTAATTGGCCAGTCAGCCATCATTAGCCTTTATTATTATATTTTACCCTGTACTGGTCAATGTAGTAATTCCCATCTGCCCTTGAACATCCTCCTTTTCCTTTTCTTTCATTCCAATTTTTCTCTTCCCACTTTTTCAATCCCTCCTTTTCTTCTCTCTTTTTTAAAATAATAATTCTTGGGGGAGGAGGGGCCAAAATTCAGGGTGGGAGGAAAAGTGATATGGAGATAGGGGTGCCTCAATAATGTTTCTCATGGATAAGGAACTGAGATAGGCTGAGGAAATAT